CTCTCGCGTTTTTTTTTTTTGTTTTCATACTTTTTTTCTTTGGTTATGTTTCTCACGGTCTCCCCCCCCCCCCCCCCCCCCCCCCCCCCCCCTGAGCTTGATTCTATTCTATAAAGAAGAACGTGTTGCTAATATGAAATAGTGCTTCCGATGTCGTTATCCACGTGTTGGATGCCCGCGATCCTTTAGGAACTCGATGCCGTAGTGTCGAGAAATACCTAAGAGAAGAAGCACCCCATAAACATCTTATTTTCGTCTTAAACAAGACCGACCTGATACCCACGAGCGTAGCTGTAAGTGTTTGCCATTTTATGTTTACTTGTACAGTTCTTTGTCTACCCCCAATGGTTTTAGTCAGGGGACTTCCTCCTACTTTCAATGGGAAGTCATCCGTTACGTCATTGGGAGATTGAATATCTCAACTTACTGTTCTTGGCCCTTGGGCTGGGAACTGGCGGAGCCTCGTCTTGAGGCACTGCCATTAGTTAGGCCGTGTTTCATTTGAGTTGAGATCTATCTCTACCCGTTTAGGGTGGCCGGTGGTAGATTTCTTAGTAGTGATTCATACATACCAATTTCCTATTTATTCATTTATTTTGTCTACTCTTTCTCATATAATTCATACCTGGACTTTTCCACTAACCTTGTTCAAGGCTGCCTGGGTCCGAAATCTGTCTACTGAGTATCCTACCCTCGCTTTTCACTCAAGCGTCACCAACCCATTTGGTAAAGGATCCCTCATCCAGCTTCTCCGACAATTCTCGCAATTGCACAAGGACCGAAAGCAGGTATCAGTTGGGTTAATAGGTTACCCTAACGTGGGCAAGTCCTCTATCATCAACACTCTACGCGGAAAGAAGGTTGCTCAAGTAGCTCCCATCCCCGGTGAGACTAAGGTCTGGCAATATGTTACTCTGATGAAACGGATATACCTTATTGATTGTCCTGGTGTGGTTCCTCCTAACCAGCATGACACCCCTCAGGATATCCTGCTTCGCGGTGTGGTTCGAGTCGAGATGGTAGAAAATCCCGAACAGTACATTCCTGCATTAATGGCCAAGGTCAAGCAACACCATATGGAGCGAACCTATGAAATAAAGGGTTGGAAGGATCATATCCATTTCTTGGAACTCCTTGCTCGAAAGGCAGGTCGTCTGTTGAAGGCTGGTGAGCCGGATGTCGACGGAGTTGCCAAGATGGTCATAACCGACTTCATGAGGGGTAAAATCCCCTGGTTTACTCCGGCGCCTGTCGTGGAAGGGGATGAAGGGAAGGGCATCGAAGGTCGCCAGGGTAGACTCGGAGAAATGCCGAAGAAACGGAAGAGGGATGATTTGGAGAGCGTCCCAGATACAACTGTAGCCGCATCGGCCACATCCGTCGGAGAGAAGGAAAGTGTGAGCGAGGGCGAAGACTTCGAAGGTTTCAGCAGTGATGATGACGAATCGTCAGAGGATGAGGCTGCGGCCATCCGTGAAGATGAGGAAGACGATATGATACCCCTGGATGAACTGAGTGATATTGACGATAGCGACGGTAGCGAGGACGATGGATGAATAATCGTTTCTACTCCTTAGAAACAATCAATATGCCTAAGTTATCTCGTCGGGCCAAGGCATACCTACCGTAGCCAGCCCGTTTATGCCTGGGTGTCGTCTAAATGGGAGTGGATTGGTCGTTGTGTAGGCGAAGCGCATATATATGCGTGTCGTCTAGCTGCAACTAGCTCTATCGGAGGCACAGCAGACGGAAGAGATCTCCTATGTCTTCTAGACATTCAACAGCCGGCGTCACACAACTACCTGAGGTTACATCGAAACCAGGCTAGTCCTATATCAGGATGCTGTCAGACATAGATTCCAAAGGCCTCGAATCTAGCCTGACGTGAGAGCTCACAAGCTGCCGTCAAGATGGCGCATCAAGTAAATAGTCCGTACCTACCTTGGGTTAATATTCCGAGGGATGCAAGGACTCTACAGCATTAGACGGGCAACAGAGTGAGGACCATAATGGCCGAGGGGATTATACATCGTCAAAATATGACGATTTCCCTTATACAGCCCTCTAAATATATGCTAATCCCTTGCGCTTTACTTTCCTCTTATTATGACTAAATGTGATAATATTTAATGCGACCGCGAATATCTTTACGTATAAGTCGTATAAGTTGCACTAAAAACTGGTAAATTGAAGCTTAGGAAAATGGCCCCTTTAAATTACGCTGTTGCTGTTGTCAGAATTCATTCTCCTTCCATTGTTGTTTAATTTTCATGGTCGCACTTGTTCCCGTCTTGAACAACGTGGGTACAGATGGTATTAAGGGGATCGAGGTGAGCAGTGCCTGCTAGATCGTCTATGTACGTTTGATATGTTCCTACCCGAGATTTGGCCTCACTCTTGCCGCCATGGATCTTAGTTACTTTTGTCTTTTCATCTTGAATTTGTCGTTATTGTTTGTTGCAATCCAATTTCTCTCTCGACTTGCCTTGGTACCTAGCTTTCTTGGCCTGGTTTTGGGAGATCCTCTTCATAGTACACATAGTTCCTTTTTTTCTTTTGGCTGTGTTTGGAATTTCCCTAGAAATTGTCGAGAAACTCGAGGCTTCTGTAGCCGAGATGTTGCTGAGCACGAGACTGTTCGCGGTTCTGGCGTCGGTTACCTCTGTAAAGGGCATATCCCCCGCGCCTATTCAGTTCAAAGCCGGGTGTTCTTTTCATTTGACGATAGCGAGTGGCCACAACGGGACCGTAGGCCAGTTAGCGGATGGCCAGATACGGGTTGGGAGCGACCTGGCGCCGTCTCTTTTCACCTGGTTTGGCGATTCATTCACTGATCATCGTGGGAGAGGTTGTTGGTGGACCCGTACGGCTTACCGATGTTCCCAGCCTGAGCTCCGATGAGATTTGACTAACTCGACGTTATAGCCCCTTCATTGGTCCTTCAATGCGATTTAAACCAAGCACCAAACCACGGGTTCGTCATTGGATGCTACGGCGGCGTATCGTTCCAACACCAGTCCCTGTTTTACGAATGCCAGACAGGCGACGGGGACGAGGTGAACTTATATCTAGAACCCAATGGTGCGGACTGTTCTAGCGTCACGCTCCATGCTGATAGCTGCCGACCCGCGTGTGCCAGTGCAAGCTTTTCGTCGAAACAATCTACTGTTACTGCTGCTACTCCTGCTACTGTTGCTACTCCTGCTACTCCTACTACTTCTACCGCTTCTACCGCTTCTACCGCTTCTACCGCTTCTACCGCTTCTACCGCTTCTACCACTGCTACCACTGCTACCACTGCTACTACTGCTAGAACAGTCGGCGCATCTTTGACCTCTACCACCACTCCGTTTCACGCTTCAACGCGCCATACATTGCAGACATCTTCGCATAGTGGAACCTCCACAGCCTCATCGTCAGCTTCGACAAGCAGACCCACTCCGTCATCTAGAAATTGCGAAGAACCTGATTTCGAACGCCCAGACGAGATCATCCTAGTGGACAAGGGCAAACCTGATACAGCGAACGGTTTGAACCCTAGCATGATCGTTCAACTGACGCCGAACGTATCCGCCATTTTCGTCTTCGACTTCAACTCCTCGGACTCGACCAAGCAGTGTTCCCTCGTCTTCGACTTGCCGTCGATCCAAGATCAGCAGCACCCCCTCTATACCTTGAACGGGACTGGGTTGGTGAGCTTCGCGCTCCTGGAGGATCCGCCGGATGACCCTGCGAATACGACCTACAATAACGCGCCGCCTGTCGCGATGCCGCTCGAGGCAGTGAACTTGGAGCCGGGCATAAGCGCCCAGCCGCTCGAGTTCCCATGTCCCGGGGAGGACGGGCACGTTGTGGCTGCGATGCGCGATAGGCCGGGTTCCGACGTCTACCTGCACTACCTGGAAGGCAGGTCCGAGGTGCCGGTCGGATTGTACCTTTTAAAGTGCTGAATTATTTACCGTTTATAAACGGAGGGCTCAAACTACTACCCTGGAGAGACTCCGGATGCTATAGGGGTTTTACGTATTGAAGTATGATCGAACCCCCTTTTTTTGGTACGATGTAATTTGGAACTTTATTCGCTAGGAAGCCTACGTGGAGGGAATGTGTAATGGGCGGCGACTACGCGGAGCTATGAGGCTTAGGACATACAAATAGTTGAAATAGTAAAACCAGTTTTTAATGCAGTCAACAGAAAGGTTCTCCGTAGGCTGATCATACTGTGCTGTATGATAATCACAGATGTGCTAAATCTAAGTCTCTCGCCAACGGCTTCAATGTCAAGCCACAGATCAGCTTGTGTCCTTATGAGAAGGTTGCGTAGGTACCTGTCTTATAGGCTGAAAAGAATACAATAGATATTACTAGAAACCCTTTACTCAAGACTTCCTGGTTTCGGCAGTACCCATAGTACCAGCCTCCTCTCTCCCAGTATCGCCCTTCTCCTGAACTAGATGTTGTGCGGTAACGTGTTCCTGTGCCATCGAGTAGCCTTTCACCGTCACGCTTAATAGTAGGCCTGCAGCCGAGAAGGCTATGAGTGACAGCCATATCGAACTTAGCGCATCCGAGAATGCCTGAATCATCCGCGTCTTGGTATCTCCGTCGGCCATATCGTGGATCAGAGCGACTATCGCGGTGGCATCGCGCGAGTACTCATCGGCTAGGGATGCGAATCCCGGGATTCGTAGAAGGTTTTGCTTCAATGAGTTCTGGAAGATGACCCCAGAGACAGCGACGCCCAGGGCTTGGCCGAATATGCGGATGAAGGAGAAGAAACCGGCAGCTTCGCCGTTAAGCTCGGGTCTGTAGAGAAGGTATTAGCTTGGAATCAGAATCTACCTGTCCTAGTCTAACGTGATTTTGCTAATACTTGTTATTAGTTGGAGACGGGTACGTACTTAGTAGCAGCTTGGATAGCTAGGATTTCTGCCGTGAAGAGCATGCCGACCCCGATACCGAATGGGATATTCAGGAATACCCATTGGGTAGCCGTGGTGCCTGTGCCCAAAAGGTATAAGAGGCCGGAGCCGGCGGTGGTTAAAACCCACCCCCCCCAGAGAGCCCATCGGTATCGTTTCGTCAGGCCGGTCAGAGCTCCCACGGCAACGCTTGAGAGAGACAGGCCTACTGTCTCTGGAAGTAGAGCGATCGCCGAAGTTACTGGAGAATATAGCTTTACAGCCTGATAGAATAGAGCTATGACATAGTCAGATATTAGTGCCGAAGGGTCTAGGAGGGGAATGGATTTAATATAAAGTGTTCTTACTGAGAAAATATATCGCAGCATATAAAATCAGGCCGTGTAACATGGTTTGGATATAAGCTGAGATCGCCGTCCAGGTTTCGAAGATGCGCTTGTCTACGATAGGGTCTGTTGCGAAAGAGAACTCCCAATAAACGAAGCAGAGGATCCCCAAAAACCCAATAATTAGAGGTAGAAGAGCTTGGTAAGATGCCCTAGATGCGGGTTCGTCAATAGGAAGTCTTTCGTTGAAGCCGTTAGGTAAGGTAGATATCATGAAGAACACTTGGTACCTACCATGGAAAGGCAACACCTCCGGTAGTAATACCGAACAGAAAGCAAGCGGAGCTAACTGAGAACAGCACAGAGCCGATCCAGTCAAACCTTTTCAGCTTTTCGACAATGTGCCCGGGTATTTGTGCTTGCTTCAAGAATAATGTGACCAGGAGCATTCCGACACCAACGATAGGCAGGTTGATCCAGAAGATCCACCTCCAAGACTTTCAAAACTTAGTCTCGTAAAGCAAAGAGGTGAAGAAGATAGGATACGTACAACATCCTGAGCAAAACCAGCTCCGATCAAGGGCCCGGTAGCGGTGCCGATTCCCCACATGGCCGAGTTGATGCTGAACCAAGTACCTCGATGTGCTAGAGGCACAAGGTCTGATATGAGAATCTTTTTTATATATTAGCTTTGAGCCGCCTCGATCCTTGCACTAAGATAGATATACGAAGGGTGGATTCACCTCCAAAAGTACGATAAGTCCTCCGCCTAATGGAACGATAAGTACGAAGTCAGGTACCTAAGGTGACATAGTCAAACTAATTTGGCAACCTACCTCCTGCTCCCTGTTTTTGTTAGAACTATATATATATATATATATCAAAATCATAAGAAGTCTTGCGCTCACCTGAATAGTCCGTCCAACAAGCACGATACTGAAGTTCCCCGCAAGTGCAGCAATAAACGAGCCGCCTACGAATCCAGCACTGCTCACATACAGCATCTAAATGACCCACTTAGCAATATAATCATTCAAGTGTGCCACAAGACTTACTATTCTCCGGCCTAGGATATGTGACATTGAAGCAACAGTAGGCTGGATCACCGTCGAAGCCAGAAGGAAACTCGTCCCGGACCAGAACGCCTGCAAAGCAGTCCCCCCTAGCTCCGCGCTCATGATCGGCAGCGCAGTGGGCAAGCTGGTCGATTCAATCGCTACGGCCGACACGATGGTCAACAGCGACATGAAAGCTAGGAGAAAGCGTTTGGTGGGTTTCCAGCCATCGTTGCCTGGCCCAATAGACGGATCGTCGTCTGCTGTTTCCGCGACGCCAGAAACCGCGCCGGATGCCTCGGCGGGCAAAGAGCTTGGTGCTATCTCCATCGCGGTCGGCGTGTGGACTGGTAAAGAAAAGGGAGAAATTGATGTTGAGTAAAGCAGTGAGAGGGTGCTGTGCTGACATGCATATGAAGATAGGCCATCGTTTTGTCCAGCGGTCTACGACGGTGTGTTATCGGCAACGAACCGTAACTGGGATCGGCCTTAGGTTACTCTCCTCGCTCGATTGGGAAGGTGGATAAACCATCTTTGGTACAGAGCTCGCTGTGAATAGCCTTTTAGACTTTAATGGAAATGGCGTATATGAGGGTAATAGAATGCGAGAATGTTGCTAGCATGTACATACTGAAGCCTTCTTGGACATTTGAAACTCTTCATCTGTTTAACTCTGAGGCTTTTCAGCTGCAAGAGATAAACAACGAGTTGAATTGGCAAACGATGAGCCAACTCTGATTGGTTCTCTTCCTCTTATCAGGTTTACGATATACGCATTCCTCATCGTCACTACAAGCAGTCGTACTGCAATATGCGTATGCAGACGAATGCCCGCAAACAGTAAATTCAGTGATGGAGTAGGTATCCGGACACATTATTTAAAGCCACTGACTGCTCTTTGAACTAGGTACATTAGGTAGGACTAGTCAACGACAACTGATTAAAGGAAGAAGATTTCCCTGAAATATAATGTCTCAAGTTCGTGCAATGAAGGTCGGTAGAATATTGGCGACCACGAGTCTTCCTCGGAAGAGCTGATGTGAATTTCGAGTGAGGAAAGAGAGTTGAGTATGAAAGCTGAAGGCCACATAATAAATAAGAGCTTAATATCTTGACGAAGACCCCGCATTTCAAGATGATGGGCAACACGGCATGTTCCTTCAAAGGCTGGCTGACTGGGGGCTGATAGTCCGCCGCGGGAGCCATAGGCATTAGCAAACTTCAGATGCAATACTTGTCTTTCTGCTTTGCTTATAGCTTCAAATTTCGGTCATTGAACTCGGTCTTGTCATAATATGCTCACCAATGAATGAGAGGGGGTGGTTTGGAGACAATACGATGCAGCTGGAGCAACCTAAAAGTTAACAGTGGCTTCTAGGGAGCGTAATGTATAGCGGCCATTTCGGAGCCTCGGCGCTTGCGGCATAAGAGGCACCCGGGACAGGCCGGGGCGGGTTTGGGCCGGGCTTGTCCGGAAGGCTAGGTGGAACCGCCCGCAGCTTCGAATCACGATGGATCGACAAACGCGGTCTTTGCCGCATGTTCGACATGGCAATCAATGGACCAATAGTGATGTTACCTAGCAGAGAAGAAAAAAATTATGCGGCCACTAAGAAGCCCACTTTATTAGGTGGTGAGCCTCACAGGTATCCCGCTAGGGCGATTCTTCGAAAGTCCAATCCTGGACAGGCGAGAGATACCATCCCCATTGGAAGGCGATATGCAGCTAACGAGAAAATCGGTACATTGGGGGGCCTTTGCAAGGTTACGTATTGTACAAGATTTTTAAGTTTTTAGGGGTCCAGCAGTAGTAAAAACCTGCAACAAACCACCACTTCGAAAAGAAACAAAAAAACATTACGGCACTATCACGCAATCATGCTTCGCTGGTACGTAGTATGAATGTCACCTCCACGACAAATATATGAAACTCCTTTTTTTTCCTATTGAGCCGGCATATATGTTATTATCTAATGGAATAATAATGCTGATACGCATATTGCCTTAGGTACCAACGAAAGCTGGCCTCTCGGCCCTTGTTGACGCAGAGCGTCACAACTGCCGTGCTGTTCGCCGTCGGCGATATCACCGCGCAGCAGGTCGTCGAGAAGAAGGGTCTTGAGAAGCACGAGATGGCTCGAACGGGTCGCATGTTCCTCTATGGTGGTGGTAAGTTTCAATTCGTCATACCTCAGACATAACCTAAATACTTTATTCATTTTTCATGATAACCCCTAAAAAATTCTCAACGCTGATTATCTCATCTCACACCTCACACCTTCTCATTCACCTGTTTAACCAACGCATCTTCTTTACCCCACATTTTACCCCCAAACCCCAATTTCACCGTTTTCCAATTCCCTCACCTTTACCCCCTTTTCCCCACAACGGGCATATTCCCGCAGCAAGGAAGCAAAAATAGTTGGCACTAGCCAAGAAAAGCATCGCAAACTTAAAAACTAGTTAAAAAAAAAGAAGAAAGAAGAAAAGAAAGAAAAAAAAAATCAAAATCAAAATGAAGATGAAGATGAAGATGAAAACAAATAAACCTGGACGCTAGCTAACCTTCCCCCCTCCCCTCTAGCCATCTTCGGCCCCGCCGCAACGACCTGGTTCGGGATCCTGCAGCGGTCGATCCGGCTGCGCAACCCGCGGGCGGAGACGCTGGCGCGCGTGGCCGCGGACCAGCTGCTGTTCGCGCCGACCTTCATCGGCGTGTTCCTGTCGAGCATGGCGGTCATGGAGGGCGGCTCCCCCCGGGACAAGCTCGCCAAGAGCTACCTGCCCGCCCTCCAGACCAACTACCTCATCTGGCCCTTCGTCCAGATGGCCAACTTCACCTTCGTGCCCCTCCACCACCGCGTCCTCGTCGTCAACCTCGTTAGCATCGGCTGGAACTGCTACCTCAGCATGATTAATAGCAAGAAATGAAGTGGAAATGGAAAACGGAAACGGACTGGAACGGAACGGAACGGAATGGAATGGAACGGAACGAGTGGTCTTGGTGACTTGCTAGGTTCGTGGCTGGCTGGCTAGCTAGCTTTTTTTATTTAGGTTAGTCGAGAGAAGAGCCTGGGAGCTTGGGAGGACGTCGGCGGTAACGAGGAACATAACGGCATGCGGTGGTATTGTTGGGATTGAGTTTAACGGCTGAGGGCTTTATAATATGCATGCATGTCTCCTGGGAATTAAAGGATTCCAAAAGGGACTGGGCTGGGGAAACTACGGCGATAGACTGGGCGGCGTTTATGACCGAGCGTTCGTGCTGTCCGTCTATAGAGAGTAGTCTCTTGCATGTCGTCGTTGATAGACCTTTTTTTCGAGCCATTTAGTCTGCGGTTGCGGTTGAGATAGAGTATATAGGTAGATTGTGGTTTGGCCTAGAGCAAGAGTCTATTCCCGTGTAGCGGCATTTATACAAGCATTCACACAACTAACTTCTCTTCTGTTTCGATATAAAGATGATATTTTAAAAAAAAAGAAGGATTCGAAGAAATAGTATAAATCCAAGTTTTCCAATATATTAGGTTAGGTACTTTTGAATATAAGTTAACACGCTACCGGCGCTCTCCAGCCGACCGGATCCAACATCCCACTTCCCCTCCCTTCCTCCCTCCATCCACCTATCGTTCCCGGGTATCCAAGCGATTGTGTTCGTACAGAATTAAGCATTACTTCGTGACGTGCGTCGAGATCGTGCGGGTGACCCCCCCGCTAAATACCTAATTTAAATAGCCCGACTGTCCAGCTTGGTTTTAAGCTGGCGGCCGGTTCATGAGAAGAGGAATTCCTTCAGGACAGGCGAGCCGGAGAATTCGGGATTCAGGAGTATACAGCTAGATAGTTATTCCACGTTAGTATATAAGTATACCTATATATAAATGTTTACTTATCCTCCTCCATCTCTGGTAGCTAGCTAGCTGTAGGTACTGGCAAGAGTAAACAAATAAATAAATAAATAGATAAAAAAAATACGACACTTACTTCAGAAAATACTGAAGACCCGCCCGACGCCTCTCCAGGAACTTGGGCCGGAACTTGGATATCATGCTCTTGGGGGGCAGCTCGGGCACCGCGGCCTCGAAGTTGGGGAACGTGCGCACGAGGCGCCACCGGAAGTCGTCGAACTCTGAATATCGTTTTCGTATGTTCATATAGCTTCCCTATAAATCCGATTTCGAAACGTTAGTTTCGCACATCCCCTCCTTTTCTCTCTCTCTCTCCCCCCCTCCCGTCTTTTCCTTTTCCTTTTCTGTTTTGGGGGAGGGGGGAAGGGAAGGGAAGGGATGAGGAGAGGAGGAGAGGCAGGAACTTACGCTTAACGTCTCGACTCGAATGTTCCAGACGACGAACGCGCCGATGTTGGTCGCGCTGCCGTTCACGGTGACGTAGTCTGTGATCTCGACGCTCTTGGCCCAGCACGCGCTTCCCCGGTCGTCCAGGCTGTTGCTCTCGTTGTCGAGCAGCGTGATGCCGCCCGCGGGGAGGGACTCGACGGACGCGGAGGATACCCCCCTCGCGTGGAGCGGGTTGTTGTTATTGTTGCTATTGTTGTTGATCCAGTACGGCGGGGGCGTCACGGGCGAGATCACAGGCGCATCTTCTTCTCTCTCCTCCTCGATTTGGCGATCTAGAGACGACGACGGGTCGGTGGTAGTAGTAGTAGTAGTAGTGGTGGTAGATGTTGGTTGCGGCGCATTCGAGGCGTTTGAGTCGGTCTCGGTATCGGTCTCGGTTGCAGGAGGCGAGGGGGGCGGGTTTGGGCGTAGCGTTGCTTGCGACAGGTTCTTGTGTACGACTCCGGTCGCTACGCCGCCATTGGCGCTCGTCAGTGGTGTTTGGGTCTCTACGACGGATGCCATTCGTCCCAATGCGCCGGCGCGCAAGGCGGAATACGGGCTCCGAGGCTGTAGAAGTGGATGAGGAAATGCGAGAGGATTTATCGGAATACGGGATTGCGATCGTAGCAGTCCAGTTTGTCGAGGGAGGATGGATTTGTATCTCCTAGGTATGTAATCTACCTAGGTAGATTTCTTAATTCTAAGAACCAATTCCACAAAGGAATCCGACAGAGTTGGATACGATTTGAGGCTAAGAGGTTCTAAAGTCCTTGAAGGTTTAAAATTGCGCTAGGTTAAGGAACGAAGATTCGATTCGATTAAACGTGAAGTCGTACCCCTGTACGGCGCCGCCGTTCAATTGGTGTTGCAGGGTGTTGCAGGGATTTATCGACGTGGGGAAGAAGAAACAGCCCACGTCAACGTTTCGGGGCCCGGCACGGACGTTTATTAGGGGCTTTCCATAGTGGCTTTGTCTTATCGATTATCTATGCTGTGCTACAACACCAAGAAAGCGCTCTTATCTGTTGTGACACCGGCTCTAGAATTTGACATTCCAAAGGTCTTTCTATTTTACATAATACCTAGGTAGTAAACGGGATTTGTTGATTAGCTAATGCTGATTATACACTCAGGCACTTAACCGTAGATGGTATGAATGTTGTGCTAGCGAGTAGTCTTATCTTTTGAGCTTTTGAGATTACATAGTAGTTAGCCATGTTCCCGTCACGATCAAGGCCCAAGGATAGGAGTATGGATGCTTCTAGATAGATACCTAGTTAAGCTGCAGTTAGCACATTGCGTAAATATTTTATCGACATCCCACTCATAACTCAAAAATATTGCCGATGAAACATATCTCTGGGGTTCAACGCCTAGTAATAGCCGTCTAAGTTACTATTTTGAGAAAGAAGGGTTACGAATGATTATGTACAAATTCGATTTCCCTCGTCTCTGACTTTTTACGTATGGCAGAAACTTATATCAACGAGGGAGTACTAGATATTCATCGTGACATGGGTATAGTTGGTGTTAATAAATCCTGAATGATGCCTTACTTTATTAGCTACTTGTATCTTGGGTCTCTTAAGCAAGGGGGGGGAGGGGGCTGCAAGATAGGCAACTACCGCGCGGCATATCTTGCGTATTTAGCATGCGATAACCATGTCTACGAAGTACACAATTTGATATATAGGATATGACTTATACGGCGCCTCCTCGTTGGGCCGAAATGAAAGAGGCGGTCAACAACTTCTTATTTCTTATCTGTAGATGGTAGATCAACGAGCATGTTTATCCTCGAGATTGCAGAGGCACGGAGATCCCGTCATGGACTGTCGGAGAATGTCTGGTTACGGATGAGGTTGCCATTCCGCCGGATTATCGGCGTCATTCCGGGTTACGATATGGTAATGGTAAGGTAGCCTTCATACCTTAGGTAGGTACACATGTTGCTGCTGTTGTTGTTGCCGTTGCATCCGTCTTCGTTTTGCACTGCGCCGAATCATGCTGTGTGACATTTATCTTAATCTGTCTAACATTTGACTCTGTTTATATGTCCGATCTGAAACAGACTTCAAATTGCCGAGAGGCCGGGCGGACGACAGGCGGATGGGATGTATCAAAGACGGCTACGGTTAATATATTGAGGGGACATGACATGTCTAAGAGGTAGGTATCCATCCATGAAGGGGGACCGCGCACTGTCTACTTTATATATATCGTTCGAGCTATTAATCCGGAGATACCTGACATGCTTACCAGATGTAGTTACGATGCGTTACAACGGCAGCGGGCATGGGAATGCAGAAATGTCAGAGGTTGGGAGTTTTTTTCCTTTTTTTCTTGTATCAAGCATCGTCGCTCAGCGTCGGTCGGGGTAATGCGGGGATTCTGGTAACTTGATTGGTAATATACGAACGATCACGGATGGGGACCGAAGAGGAGTAAGGAATAACAAATGTCTTATATTTCGTGTTGTTTGTTGCGGGGCTACACGAAGAGCATACCTTTACATATAGTTTGTGTACCTACCTAATATAGTATGTATTTTTAGGGGAGCTGGGGATCATCGAGTTAAAAAAAAAAAAAAAAAAAAAAAAAAAAAAAAAAGAGTCAGCCTCTAATCACAAAAATCGACCTACGATAGTCAAACACAACAATACAATATCGATAGAATGGAGCCGAACGCAACGGAATTGCTTCGTACAAAGAACATGCATAAATACTATGTACCTAACTTAGAAAGGGTCGTCTCACCACACCATCATCTTTTCTCTTCTCTAATCGTCTACTATGGTACCAGGCCAAAGCATAGTAATAATTAAGCGAAGCTGCAAACCAGCAAGAAAAAAACACCACGGGACAAATCGCATGCACAAGAACGCTTCGGTTTCTGCAGTCTAACCTGCTCCCACCTTGCAATACGAGGAATCGATGCTAAACTCCTGCTAGCTCGAGCCGAGGGCAACGGCAAAACGAGGGTCATGGCAAAAGCCGCTTTCCCTAAACGGCATCTGACTCCTCCGTGGTCCAATGAGAATTTCGAGAATTTTGTACCTAGGTTCTTATATACATAACTTTATACCTATGCCATACAGGTATGTAGGTAGGTATGTATGTATGTATGTATGTCTGTAAATTCGGACAGCGAGAATTAAGTTACGGTCAAATATTGGATGACGCTCCAACCTTAAAAAAGGGTATCGGACGATGAATGCAGATGATCAGCAGCGTCGGCTTTTTTATTTCTATTTTTCTATCTTCCCTTCCGTACGTACCGTAATAATAACACTACACATATATTGGACCTATGTAAGTCATATACTACCTTGTAAATAAAACTAGACCCTTTCGATACCTTACATAGTACCTATCTTCCGAAAGCCAAACAAGGGCAAGCAAAAAGAAAAACCCAACCGGTTTTTTCTCTCTCTCTTTCTTTGGTGGAAGAGCCGAATGATACCCTTCTGAGGCTCTGAAACTAGACGGGGTTATTGAGCTGTGCCTCTGGCCTCTCCGGTGCAACCTGTCCGGACACTTGCAGGGTTGGATACAGGGCGGCGCATTGAATTTCGAATTGTGTACGGTTTACGAAGTAGACGGCGTTCTTTAATTTATGAAAAGATCGCCCGCTCGAGACCCTCAGTTAAGAGATCAACCACCCAAGCCAAAAGCCGGATTTTGTTGGCTTGCTCGATATTTAGTCCGCCTGTTTGTTAGTCCACGACTCCATACTTGTTTGTGTATTAGCCTACCTTAGGTAGACATAATACCTTACCTCTGAGCCCACGTGGACGTCGAAAATTCGTAAAGGTTCCTTGTCAAAATTTATGTAAAGCAAAAATAAAAATAAACATGCCAAGGTTTTTATTTTTCTTACGGTCACGATTTAGGTTTTTTGAAAGAGACTGGCCTCGTAATGTAGAAGAGGGAATCACTGACAACACGAACAGTTATCCGTCTACTACCATAGTGGTTAGACAGGTCAGGTTATAGTACAGTACAAATATTAGATGGGTAAGTCGATAGCTACCCATGATCCCTGTCTAGTAAACGGCTGACAGCCACTCATAAAAGCTCCAGATGCTTGGGGGTCTTGGAGATAACGCTGAGACCACCTACCAGACAGGGAATACCTCCTTTTATTTTTCATTTATCGGCCATGTACCCCGTACAGTACAATCTCTTTTACAATATCTGCGAGAACATTAACCCTGGTCTCCCCATCCGATGCCCATCTATGGGAAGCTCTCCCAGAACTTCTCTTTCCTTTGAGAACATTCCTCTCGTTCCCCCTTCGTATCCTAGCCACCGTTCCTCTCGCTTTTAAACACGGTCGGTCGTCGGTCATTCGTTATTTTCTAATATTCGTTCGCATTTAATACACTACTAATTCTTTCCGCTGTATACTGTCTTTTAATACTACACCGGCCGTTCTGATTAGAGAGGGAAACGAAGTAATACCTATTCATCGTCACAGCCGTCCTCGTCCTACCGTAACACACCTAATTCTACCATCGCAATGTCTTCGTTAAGGAACATCTTGGCTGCGGCCGTCCTTTTGGCCTCCTCGGTTCAGGCCGACTATGTTATCGATCCCGACAGCGTGTCGTTGACCATCAAGAGTATGTCCTACTACATTCACCTAGACACTTAACTTCTAGTCGGATGCAACGAATTTTAACATATGATGTGTAGCGAGCTGGTGTAAATCCGAGACGAGCACGTGCCCTCTGATCTGCCAACAGACGCCTCCGGGAACCACATTAGTCAACGAATGCGATCCTGTAAGTTATCACAGCAGATCCCGATCAAGATAGTTCAAGATGGTGTGGGACGTCTCATACTAACGTCTTCCCTGTAGCAAGCTTTGACCTACGGCTGCGTGTGCGGAGACAACAAGCAACCCAACGTGTCCGAGTACTCCCTGACTCTGCCGTACTTCGTCTGCCAGGAATGGGGTGACCAGTGCGTCAAGAACTGCGGACAGGACAACACTTGCGCCAGCTCGTGCCGAGAGGACCACCCTTGCGGTGCTCAGAATCCGACGAGGTCAAACACGTCATCCACCGCGGTTCCTTCCGCCACGGCTACCGAGACGGATTCCGACAACCCTAACGCTATCTACACTGGTCTGGCCGGTAGCAGCGATGACCCGGATAAAGGCAATGCTGCCTTCCGAGTCGGTGCTAACGACGGCTTGTTCGGCTTTGTTATTATCGCCGCCGGTGTCAGCTTGGGTGTTTTCCTGCTGTAAGGGGATGAAAAACGGGGAGACCCTTTCCGTCTTTTAGCAGCGGCGTCTCAACACCTGTTTCTGTTATAAGTCTCTGATATAACGGACGAATTATGTTTCTGTTGTGACAGAACATACTTCCAAAACGGCACGAGCGCCAAAATAATGCGACGTTCGTCTCGCACTTGGGAACGACGACCCGAATCATTTAACTAGAGCGGCTGTATTCGATACTTGCCACGTACTGATATAATACCGTGTTTTTAAGGAGCATTTGGGGGGTTTGAGGTTTGGGAGACCTTGCATTTTCGATAATGGGAGCGTAGACGGGTTATTTGAACATACTCTTATGCTTTACACAGCAGCCTACTTAACACAACGACATCCCGCCGAGGGACGATGGAGCTTGTAAACTGCTCTCAATTAATAATTAACTGCATGAGGCCCTGATCTCTATATCAGACCTCCACTTACCCACATCCACACTCATACTCATACTCATACCTACACCCGTTGTTTCTTTATTTTGTGAATTTTGCTGTTGACGTGACGCTAGTATAAGGTATTGCCTCGTAACATCTGTAGTCTGTAGATGCGGCGGGATGGACTGAATGTAAAAAATGTAAACTCCTTTATAGTAGATAAATTTACCTCAACTCCTCCCATCGTGAGATGGTTGGGGTTGGCTTAAGCTGACATGACATGTATATTACATAGGATCCTCACATGCTAATTCAATTAACCAACCTAGCTATCCAGTCTAATCAAAAGCCGCTGATGATTCCCATATCCTTCTCAATGGGATTTATTCCTGATGATTGGATGGGCTTATACATAGTACCCTGCCGGCAAGCTTGGGGAGGTACGCTGGCTGGTACGTACCTAAGATAATAGTGACGAAGAAAACTACCTAACCTAACCTAGGTAAAATAGGGGCATAGGGGCATCGCAAAAGTTCTAGGCTTTGATTCGTCTCGAATTAACTTGTGCAACCCGTGTTCTTGGATATGACATCCTTTGCATGTGGGACTCGTTATGTAACACATGCGAAAACTATCTCGCATCTCGGCCCCACCATGCAGTGAAGTTATGTACCTGAAGCTGCTAGAGCCTAGAGGTAGGTACCTAGGTAGGTGTAGGAGGTTAGGTAGCCGGCCTAGGTACATCCGAGTGTAAATTATTCTTCTGCCCAGGTGCTCTTGTAAAAGCTGCCGAAGCTGCCAACTTACCTTTATAACATTCACACCGACTTGCGACTTGCCGACCTTCAACATATAACCTATAAATCTTCGTGACGCACTTGTGCTCTTCTACATTTCTTTTCTGCGACTCAAATTATATTCTTTTTTTTAAGTTACATATATTCCATGGAGTCGATCAGCAACCACTTAACATGGGAATGATCGTTCCTTTTCGTTACTAAATTCTTTAAATTTTGCAGCTAATAAGTTCGACCATCGCGAACAGAGTTTTGAGGTGCTACCGTACCTAGTATTTTTTACACTTCGTTACATATTTCTACCAAGGCAGAATTAAGTTTTCTCCCAGCTTGATCGCGAATCGTTCTGCTGTCACCAAGGAAGCGAAGAAGTCCCTGTGTGCCGTCATGGCCCCGAATAATAGCAGTATGTATACCTATAACCTTGACGTCCTCTACTACTACTACTCTTGGCAATTCTTCAGCTCTAACTCGGAACTCATGCAGAAACGGCTGTTGCCGAATGCATCTCGGATGATGCTCTAATACACCTAAAGTCTTACAAGTACTCGGCCGTCGACAAGTCCCCCATCTCTAATTATATCCTCCGTCCCTACGTACGTACCGAACCCCTATCCCCTGCCCTAACGCCGAATAGAATAGTATACTAAGAGTTGGACTAGTGGAACGCCTTCGTCGAGCTTCTACCGTTATGGCTGGCACCCAATATGGTAACCCTGATAGGGTTCATGTTCATTCTAGTTAACATCGCTTTACTGGTTATATTTATGCCAGATCTAGTAGGACCGGTATGTACTTGACATGGAGCACCGTGGGACCGCAAAGCGAAGGTGGCCTTTCGGCTAACACGATGCGAACTTTAGGGCCCGTCGTGGCTTTACTTTAGCTTCGCCTTTGGCCTTTTCATGTACCAGACGATGGACAATATCGACGGAAAGCAGGCGCGCCGAACTGGCACATCGAGTGGTCTGGGAGAGCTCTTCGACCACGGCATCGACTCCTTAAACTGCACTCTCGGCAGCTTGCTAGAGACGGGTGCCATGGCTCTGGGAAACTCGAAATCCGGCGTCTTTACCGCCCTGTGTCCTTGCTTGGCCATGTTTTTCTCGACCTGGGAGACCTACCACACCCACACGCTGTACCTAGGCTATTTCAACGGCCCTACCGAGGGTCTCCTGATTGCGTGCAGTCTGATGGCTATCTCGGGCATCTACGGACCCGGCATCTGGACGGAACCTATCGTTAATATCGTAGGGAAGCATAACCTCTTCGGGTTCGACGAATTTGTCGCCGACCATTCGATTCGCGATATCTGGATCCTCATCATTATCGGCTCGCTCGTCTTGTTTCACATGCCGTTCTGTGTCCTAAACGTTGTCAAGGCGAGACGACGTAACAACCTTCCGGTCCTCCCTGTTTTCCTCGAGTGGATCCCCATGGGTATATATACCTTCTCGATCGGCGCATGGCTATACTCTCCGCATTCGACGCTGAGGAGCGAGAACCATCTGGTGCTGTTCTGCCTGACCATGTCTCTTGTGTTCGGGCGCATGACGACCAAGATGATCCTGGCCCATCTCACCCGCCAACCCTTCCCGTACTGGACCGTGATGCTAGCTCCGCTCGTAGGCGGCGCTTTCCTGGGTAACCTTCCGCGGCTCGGCCTCCCGGCTATCACCGCGGATCTCGAACTCTACTACCTGTGGGCGTACTTCGTTTTTGCGTTCATCGTATATTTCCGATGGGCATATCTCGTCACAACCAGCATATGCAACTTCCTCGGCATCAACTGTCTCACCATCCCCTTCGAGAAACAGCTCGAGAACAAGCGGAAGCAGGAGCTTCTGGCGAACGGCAACGCGAACGGGAAGAAGTCTCAGTAGATGGTGCCGACTCGATGGCGTATGCGATAGGGGCGTTGTGGAGTGGGAGGATACAGTGGATAGAGTACGACGTACAATTCTGGAAAGATGCTTCCTCGCCGCGTTTTTATCCCGAGTATCAGCGTTGGCTTTCTTCTACGCGGGAGCTAGATTTTTCTCCACTCTTACTTACCTACATTGCATTGTTGTAATATACTAGAAAAAAGGAACCAGGACTATATTGTAGATAGGCGGACAGGGACTTACTTCACTCGGCGCATCGGGTACCGCGGCCTCTTAGCTGCGAGGCCTTGGTTTGGGGGCGATATTAGAGGATGGGTAGGGAGAGAGCGTGGGTGTGTCGGGCTCGTCATAAAAAGGAAGAAAAGAAAACAAAGAAAAGAAGAAGAGAAAGGCCCGGGGACAGCCGTGTATATTTTACGAACGGGAGAATCTACTTTTCTCGGCCTTTGCGCTCGACAATGGACCCGACATGGGAGGTAGGGCGTTCTCTCGTCGATCTACGAAGCGAGGAGAGGAGAGTAGAGCAGAGGGAGACGGTAATTAATAGCGGTTGCATTTGCATTGCGTTGGTGGGCAGTCATTCTGAATAGAGATGGGGATAGTGATGATAGAGGAATGAATCGAAGAGGAATTTCTCTTGCTTTTCACGTACTGCAAGAGGAAGACATGGAAATGATGCTTTGTTTATATATATCGGCATTTCAAGTACATGTGTATGAGATTACCTAGGTACCTATCTTAAAAGCTCGTGCTCTTTTACTTCCGTCTCATTGCCGTTAAGTCTCTCAGTTTTTTTAAACCGGAAATTACACGGTCTAAGTTTTGATTGACCAAGTGGGAAAGAGAGGGAAACGGAGGAAATAAAATGGCAAAGACGGGAATTAGGGTTCGGATAGTCCGAGGTCTCGGACGCCACAAATACATTTATCGTCGAATATCGCGTATGTTCTGTTTTGCTCTGTTCCACGCCTCGCGAATCAGAGTTCATTTCTCGTTATCCCTTACTTTATCTATCCACCCGTCCCTAGCATAGCATACAGTAGTAGTAAGTTAAGAGGTAAGTATCCTCCGACAAGAAACGAAACGACGATTTAGTAGTACATAGTAAGTAAGTACCTAAAAAGTGAACCGGCTTGTTTTCTTTTCTTTTGCTTTGTTTTGTTTTTTATTACCTCTCCCCGGCTAACCGACGTCGGCGGACTTCCCCGAGGGCCTTGGACCCGCTTAGGAAGATGCTCACGGAGACGAGGCCGATGAAGGGCAGCGTCTGGAACAGGTTCCACGTGGAGTAGTACAGGAAGAAGACGAGCTCCATGGCGGCGATGGAGCCTAGGAAGGTCCCGTGCGCGACGGGCGCGGCGCTGAGAGCCGCGGGGAGGTGTGAAAGGTTGCCGCCGAGAATGGCCCACTGGATTTCCGTGTTAGCTGCTGCAAGGCTAGATATGTATATAAACGCCGTTTATACATGTAACAAGAAAGAAAAAAAATGAACAAGTAAATATATATATATATATATACGTACGCTGACGAACAGGAGCGGGACGGTAGCCAAGACGGCGAAGACGAAGACGATGGAGATGACCTTGGGGGGGCTTTGGGGGTCGGCGCGGAAGATGTGGTGGATCTCCTGGAGCTTGCCGTAGCGCAGCGGCTTCTCGTAGACGAGGGGCTTGGTGGCCGGGTCGCGCACGACCGCGACCTCGAACACGTCCTTGACGAGGCCGGCGGACGAGCCGAACGAGGCGAGGATCAGCGAGGCTTTGAGGGGGTCTGTGGCGATGGCGAGTTGTAGGGGGAGGTCGTTGTATTTCTGGGAGTGACGGTTAGTACAGAGGTATAAATATATAAAAACATAAATACCTATGTATACAATAGAAGAGAAGCAGAGAAGAGGAAAAGGGTAGTGTGATTTGGATGACGCACAATCTCGACCGTAGCCTTGCCGTTCTCCTTCACGGTCAACGGGAAGGGGGCCTCGAGGCCCGAGGTAGGCTCGCGGAGGACGAGGAAGGCCTGGTGCGGACGCTTGCCCTTGCCGTCCTCCTTGGCCGTCAAGAGCAGCTTTAAGCTATCGGAGCTATCCAACACCACGGGCGTCTGAAGGACGGGAGTCTTGTCGTTGAACCTATAGTTATAACATTGAAATAAACCGAATCAGCCTTTTAAATTTCCAAATAATTCTTCTCGTTCTTATCGTCTTCGAAAAGAAGAAAACGTACTGTCTAACGTCCTTATCCTTGGTCCCGGCCTTCTTCGCCGTCACAATGAGCTTTGCATCGTCGAAGCCCCAGGACGAAGCTGCCTGAGCCGCGCCGGTAGCTAGAAGTAGGAGAGGCGCTACGAACGAGTGTAGGAATCGCATTGTCGTCTTTTTGAGGGAGGTAGGAAAGTACAGGAAAGTTGTTGGACGTTGGAGTTGGGATAGCTACCAGTGAAGTGACTTGCGACTTACAACTGACTGGAGCTTCGATGTTCCTTTCAATTGAACACAATAACCCGTTCCACTTTTTTTTCTTTTCCTCCGCTGACGTGGTTTCAGTCTATCGATAAGCTCGATAATCTTGATAAAGCTCGATAAAGTTCGATAAAGCTCGGGTTGCTGAAAGGTAATACAGTGCTAAGCTTTACTATCCTCACACTGTCTACTACCCCTTAAGTGAAGGTACTTGTCTATACAAATGCCTACGTCACAAATTGTCTGAAGAAACACACGATATAATTTAATATTCTATTCTTTAGTATGTATATGTAGTTATTATTCAAGAGAAAACAAGACTGAAGAGCATATTCCATTTATAACTCTGATCTGCTCCTAACAGCCTGCTTCTTACCCCCCGAAGGCGGCTGGCTCATAAAACCATCTAGTTCCATCCATTCCGCCGCAAACGCCGTGATGATCTTAGCCCAGTCGTCCAAAGATTCCATGTCGAGATGCTCGCCGTCGTCATCCATAGTGTGCCACGTAGGAGGGAACGGCGAGGGGATGATATGAAGCACATCCACCCCTCGCACCATAAAAGGCACGTGGTCGTCCCCGACGTATGCTCTCGTGAACTGCGACGTCTGCTTGCTAGATTCTGGTAGGAAGGGGTTTTTCGGTCTGGTCTTGAGGAGGCCTAGTTTCCGCATCCGCTCTTCGATCTTGGACATGCCTTGATAGGCCCAATGAGTCGATTGGAAGTAGGAAGGGACGTGGGGTTCCGCCGCTCCAAGGAGGTCGACGAGTAAGAAGAGGCTGATGGAGTCGAGACGAGTTCGATAGGCAGAGCCGCTTACGTACGGCTCGGAATCCCAGCTTTCCGCAAGTGCTCGCGCTCCGTAGAGGGAGTCCGTGTCAGTCCAGCTGACCCAAGCTTCTTCTCCGTCCAGGAGCAGGATCTGGACTCCCTTCTCTTCCTCCAGGCCCAAGGTGTCGCCCGACTCCTCCATAGCCTCCCACTTCTTCGTCAGCGCTTCGTCGATACTACGCGCCACGTGCATCAGCACGGCGCAAGGGGCAGCGCTGTCCGTAGCTCCGACGAACCCCTCTGGCCGATAAAGGCTGTCGTAATGCGCAACCAGCGTCAAGCGGCTAACGTCTCCGGGCCCGGCCCACGGCGGGTCACGGGTGATGATGAGATTCTTGAAAGGGATATCCGTATCACCCGTAGCCGGCGTCTTGGCCGTTGTGTTATGCCAGTCGATAGTCCATTTAGGCAGCTGCCGCGAGAAGAAGTCGACAAAGTGATGCTGCACAGCGATAGACCCGGGTGTGCCAGGGACCCGAGGTATCAAGATGGGCGATAGGAGCGACCCGGTCTTGATATCGAAATCGTGGGCGCCGCTAGGGATATAGCGAAGCGCATCGTCTGATAATTCTTCGTACGCGAACGCGTGCGCTGAAAGAAGAAACACGAGCAGCGCGATGGTCCCTATGCGAGCCCATTGAATGGACTCGTTTACATAACCCATCGAGACTCGTAGTAATACGCCCGGACTCGTCCCGCCAACATTTGGAGCGTTAAGACATTAGGATCGCGAAGTTGACGCGGGAGGGTTTAGAAAGTGGACAGTGTGTTTATTAGAAGGCCAAGTACCTACGTACTCCCTTAAGGCTTACACTCCTTTACACAGGTACCTAGCAGCCTAAGTACCTTAAGTTTTTTTCCCGAAGAAATGAGATTGCCCTGAGTTTACAAAGGGTTATTGTCACTAACTTGCATTAGATCGATTTTTCCCAAATAGGCTCTTTTGTGGAGAGCGAGGGAGATTCCGGGCTTTTGATTGGATGCGACGGTTTTTACAATGCGAGTGTAATAAATATATTAAATAAAAAAAATAAAAAATATTAAAAAAATGGAGAAAATTTTATTTTATATAATTTTATATTTATTTTAATTTTTACGGGTTTAATTTAAGTATATTTTTAATTTTTCATTTATAATTTTATATTTTTATATTTTGTGACGAACCTACACTTAGGTCCGTTATGTTACGAGTCTTGGGGCCTGCGGCCCAAGATTAGGCCATGTGCAGGGCGCATGGGCCACCTTGAGAAATGGGAAGGACCTCCCTGTCACGTGGCACCCTTAGGAGCGTAGTCTCGCGTAGCTACGCACCACTACGCTGAGGCTCTGCGCGTCACTATGCGTAGCTACGCGCTACTACGCCTATACTGACGATTTTCTATATAGATAACTTCGTATTCCCACTAGGTAGAATCGTCAGTAGTCAATCTAAGTCATTCCTGAAGCTTACCAAGTATCACATACACTTGAATCACGATATCAACTCTGTTACCTTCAAGACATTCATTTACGTTTCCTTAGCTATCAATCTAAGTCTTATATCTAACCCATATAAGGGGAAGGACTCCAAGCCTTCCTGACGAACACTTCAACGTTTTATTGACACTTGACCCGTATCGTTTACTGTTTACCTAAAATCAAGACCCCAGTTACTACACTCTACCGGACCTGAGTGTAGGTTCGTCACATTTTGATAGCTCCTTGATCAGTACCATTACCGGTCAAGTGTGGCATGAGCGCCAGCCCCGACGATATCCCCTCGCCTTCGCAGACTACATACAACCCGTCACTCTCAGAATACTCATCGGACGAGTCCCCTGAAAACCAACTTTTGGAAGAAGCTAACCAAGTAGAATATCATCCTGACAAACTAGATCTACCACCTCTCGACTACGTCTTAGGACTGATAGATAACATGGCCCCAGCAGAGACCAGGTCCCAGGCAGGGTCATCCAAGCCCAAGGAAGAAGTAAAAGAAACTATCGAGGTTACCAACAAAGGAAAGGGAAAAGCCCAGGATGACGGAAGAGATGACGAAGACGATATAACCATACTAAAAAGGAGTATGAGACAAGCGCACCAAGCTTATCAGGGGCTTGAGGACGAAATGATAGCCCTGCAAAACAAACTAACCAAACTCGAACGAAAGAGAGACGACGATGAGGAACCTGACCCACGTCCGGTACGGCGAGACACTACGGTCCCACTGCCATCCGACAAGGGATTCAGACCTTCTCCGCCACCTAAGTACGATGGCACTACCGACGTTGAGGACTGGCTTAGCGCAGCCAAGCTCTATCTGGCCTTCTTTAGAATCAGCCTTAGCGAAGACGAACACAAGGTCTTGGCAGTCTGTCAACACCTTGAAGGAGACGCACTTGCGTGGCTCCAACCTATTTTGGACAATCATCTGGATATGACCCAAGAGGAGTTGGAAGAGTCCAAGTACGTCTTCAGCAAATACGAGAACTTCGAAGATAGGATGAGGTTGATGTTCGGAAACCCGCTTCCATACCAGGTATGGTTCCCGTGCTGTTGGTTCGTAACACTCTTTTAGCCTCGTGCGCGGTAGGTATTTTGGTATCCACCCACGCTAAGTCCAGTGTCGAGTCCCTTTGTTCGTGCCTTAATCAAGTGGTGCGGCCACGTTTTGTTGCGAGACTGAGCTTCTAGCGGCTGGCTAATTCCAAGAGGCTCTCAGGGTTTCCGGCAGTTCTGTTTTCCTTGTCCCACAATGGGTGGTGCATGTTGAAGTCGCTCCCTCTCTTGCTGTCCATTTCGGGGAGGGGGTTGTGACGTGTCTCGCCTGGGGGTTCTATGTATGTGCTTCACACCGCTACCAGGTCCGAACCGGTTCGGGTTTCCAGCGCCTGGGCTAGGATTCCTGCTCCTTGTGCTGCGTTCTAGTACTCTACCTTCAGCGTCTTCGTTGCGTGCTTCTAGGTGGGGATTGCTGCTGCTGGGCTGCGGTTCGCTCCGGTGGTGCTGACGCCGCTCTTACGGTGCTCTCCATTATTGTAGGAAGGGAGGAGGAAATGGCGCTGATTTTGGTGGTGGCTGCGATGCTCACGGTCTTCCTGGGTCTATCCTTCCTAGAGGTTCTTATGGCCAGGGTGCCGTGGCCGGTTTGGTCCGGGTCCGGCTGGCTTCCGCTGCTGTTGCTGCTACTTCTCGTGTATTTTCTCTCCGCGACGAACTTGAAGCCGTCAAGGGCCGGTCGGCTAGCCCTGGGATAGAAACTTGAGCCGCTTCTCTCTTTGAATTGTCTCGGGCGGTATATGTACGCCTCTTTCGCCTTTTCTTTTGCTTCTTGTAAATGTTTGCAGGCCCTGTCCCAGGCCGTGTGCGGTCCGCCGCAGTTCCTGCATCGAATTGTTCCTGTGCACTCACCCTCTCCCCTTTCGCGCGCGGGGCCAGCACACCTGGCGCACCGCGCCTTCTCCTCCCAAAATTTCGCCGTGTGCACGAACCTGTAGCATTTGAAGCACTGCTCCGAACGCGCGTCCTTGGTGAAGGGTTCGCACTGGAATAGCTCTGCCCTCTATAGGAGTCCGTTGCTGCATAGCGATCGCGCTGCATCAAGGGAGCTAAGCCGGAGCACGATCTGGCATACTTTACTTCTGCTAGCTTCCTGTGGACCGGTATGATCGACTCGATGTGTTCGGAATCCTCTCTCCTGATCTCGTTGAGCAACTCTTGGGGCTTCGAGTGTACGTCCCGTAGCTTGTCTGCCTTCGGGCCTTTGACGATAACAGTGTATGATCTTCTGGCGCCGGTTGCCTGCTCTCCGAATGCCTTCTTGATCCATTCCTGGTTGCCCGACTTGTATGTGGTGGCTCCGTCTCTGAACGTGACCGTCACAGCGCCGCTACGAAGTCGTCTCACCGCCATTGCCTCCTTTTGTCCCACTGCCTGGTTAACCGCTTTTATGACCTGCTTGGCATTTCTGTTGGCCATCTCCGACGTTGCTGAGCTACTCTTGATAGTGACATCCCGCATTCGGCGCGCCAGGACTGCTACAGTGTTGGGCCAGGTCCGGTTGCTGCCAGCGGCCACGGCTGCCTAGGTCTTCTGTGTAGGTGGTGCTGCGAGCAAGCTCCTGCTTTTTTCCAACGTGTTTATTATTCCTTGCTTCATTGTTTGGATTTCATATTTGATATTGTTGAGCTCGGCTGATTCTGCGCATCGCTGTTTCGCGTCTGGTTTGGTCGCGCTTCGTACGCGTCGCGTTACTTCCTCTCGACCGCTGTCACCATCTTCCTTTTCATTTCATTAGCTTCATCCCTGTGACTTCCTTGTACCATGTCTATTAGTCTTTTAAATAGCGCTTCGATTGTTTAAACGCGATCGGTAAAAGTTCTGTGTGTAATTGGTGTTAGGACTAATCCCGATATAAATTAGTATGTACGTGTGTCGGTGGCTGAACTGATACCGGAAATAGAAAGGCTGTCCAACTAGTGATGCTGGTTATTTCGGCTAATCCCTAAGGACGCACCCAATGATCAATGTTTGTTGAAATTTTAAATTCTTAACGCGATCTAAACCCGCCTTGCTAATCTCTCTTAGCGCTGATTTGTGGAGTATGCAGCCTCATTTTCCCCGGATAACCTTAAATCATCCTCTTTTATTACAGTTGCACCATAGTTCTTGCTCTTATAGTCTCTTATTGATTCTTTCCATCTTTTGAGCTTCCAGATGACGAATTCAACAACGCCTACTTATTTACGGAACTGTTTACGACCGCGTTACGATGTGTATTCGACCCCGGCTACCAGGTTCCCCCCGACCCATCCTGATGGTGAGGAGCACCCTTTTTACGATGGCAAGTATGGCGCGCTGTTGCAGTTCGGCCATTACGGTGAAGGCGTTGATTATGAGCCGGTTATCTACGCCTGCTGCGTTGTGATGGGTAACGCCTGGCCTCTTGAGATGATGGGCCATACGAGGATCGATTCGCGACTAGACGGTGGACTCCTTACCTACGCGTATTTGTCGCTCTCCAACACGCCCGATACCAAACAAGCTATAGGGCTCCGCGAGCATGGCGGCATTTTGAGGGAGCCAATATACATCCTCCACAACCTTGAAGGCGGTGGTAAAGTGGTTTATTTCTTTCTTCGTTCGTGGTCTAATCAGTAAAATAGTGTATTATTACCCATTTACCCCGAGTTTCGACCATTCGGTATTTCCTCACGATGATATCCCTCCTCCGTGGCAGTGCGTACAGATCGCCAGTAGTCCTAGAGTGGAAACTGGATAAGATCACCGAGATAGGGGTCATAATAAACGTTTAAAAAAGCACGCCTTATTACGGATGTGTTTACAACCTACCTATGTAGTGTTTAGTTTTTTAGTAGACTTGTGCTAATGTGTTCTTTTACGTTGAGACCTATAACACAACAACAGAACGTCGTATTAGGATACAAAAAGACAGAGAGGATCAGAAGTCATTTATCTAACCCCGAGTCCGAGTATTAAAATCATGATTATTTTCAACGATGGTATGGGAGTATTTGATATATTGTAATTGTAGTATCGCCTAATATGTGCCTAACATACCCTATTTGCGACCGTTTGGCCTCGGACGGTCTGAGCTAGTTGAAAATATTTACGAATACAACATCAATTCACACATTACAACCCTTTCGTAAACTTAAGGCATATCTGATTCTATAGTCGATTTGTATTTTAAGAACATAAAACCTGGACACTAATAGCCTAATGAGCTCCGTGCAAGTTAGGCAAGTCGTTATATCCTTGTTGAATTTCATTGACAATCGTGAACGCTCTTGGGAAGGAGAGTCAAAGTTAAAAGCATGGGGGTATTAAAATAAGGCTTGCTCTACAGTATTATCAGGTACTTAGGTAAGTAGATTATCTGTCACGTATACTGCTGTGGAAGGATCTTTAGATGAGACTTGAATTGATCTCGATCTGCATCTAATGGAAGAAGCTATCTAATGGAAGAAGCTATCCAATGGAAGAGGCTGTCTAATGTTATATGTACGTGTGTATGTCCACTTATAAGATCGAATAGCTCCACACTAGGGCTAGCAACCTCGTTGGTCAGGCACCTCGGCACACTGACAGCTAAGGACCTCATCACCTCGGCATTATCTGATATGACGCTCAAGGCTTTCTGTCATAGATTGCAACTCTTTTGCGAAATCATTTTTTCCTTGCTTCCCTTGGTACGTATTTAGTTTGCGCTTTTTGTTTGAACTGATGAGGCTGAGAGGCTTCCGGTTAAGGAGTTTAGATCGCTCAAAGTCCACGATCATCACTTCGCCGTTATAGGGATTGTATACGATATTGCGTGGTTCAGCATCGCCATGGAGGACATGCAACTCGTGAACTGCCTTGAACCCGGCGGTGACCGCGTTAACGATAGCAGTCTTATCAGCTTGATCAGGCAAATCAAAAAAAGGCCGCCCAGCCCAGCCGAGGAACAAGAAGTGTTTGAAAATACCGCCGTTGTAATAATATGGCCGAACCAAATCTATAGTGCCAAGACATACGGGGACGTATTTCCCCTGAATGGTACGTAGCTGGTCATAGACTTTGTTTTCATGTTGCAGACGGGCTAGATTGTCACTCTGTACACCTTTGGCGACTACGGTGTAGCCATGAGAAGACAGACAGATTTTGAAAAGCGACCCGACAGATCCAGATAGATAGAGCGGCTTAGCGTCCGCGTCTACGCCACGATCTATGGCTAACTGGGTTCGTATTAAGTCTAGAAATTTGGAGAGGCTAATATGCTGTCGCTGATGGTGACCGAAGTTGGGGCATCTGTCGTCCATAGGCCCTTTGCTCGCTAGTCCTAACAAGCATTTCTGGCTGCAGAAGGGCCGGTCCTCAATCTTCGTCTTGGTTCCTGTCTGTACTTCTGCTTCCGTCGCACCACCCTTCGCGCTCCCGCCACGGTGGCCTTGCTTTGCGCCCTTGGCTGTCGTTCCCGTCACTGCAGCTACATTCTTAGAGCGTAGGGATCGAGAGACGGATGGGGAGGGAAAGGGATCTTCGTCTTCGCTCGTATCTTTGCTCTTGGGGAGAGCATTGCTGTTTCCTGGGCAACAGCGAGAGCGTGTCCCGATTGGCGAACGCGTAAAGCCCTTCTTCCAGCGTGGAGGCTTGTAGATAGACCCTTTGGGTGGCTTTCGTTCGGTTGCAGGAATGTCTCGTAATATGTCTTCGAATTCTACAACCCAGGTGTCCAGGGCTCTTGTCCGGTCCTGCCAGGTCTGGGACAGCGGCGGCGCGCGAAGGGCCTGGAGCACAAAAGCAAATACTTGAGCAACAGCGGTGCGATGAAGCCAGTTTTCATCGTCCTCTGCGGCGTCCAAATTAGGCACGGAGACGTAATAATACACGACAGACGGATCCTTGGGGATATGTAAGAAAACAAAGGTCTCTCCTGTACATATGTAACCGTACTGAACATTTTTCCGAATCATGTATGAGAACAGTTGAGTGATGACGGCAGCAGTAAGGCGCCTCGACTCCAAATTGAAGCCCTGACTGTCCTTGTTAATCACGTCACGTTCTGGCTGAATCTCTTCTCTTAGTCCGGTGACGACCTCGGCTATAGTTAATTTATGCGGCGCCTTGTATTCGATCACAAGCGCTGGGATGTGTTCCCCATCAGATCTTCGGTATATGCAGAACTGGTCGGCAACGCCCTTCTTGCCTTCAATAGCCTTGTGATGGGTAGAGGCTGGGACCGGGGTAGAAGGGGCCGGAGTAGAGGCCGGGGCCGGGGTCGTGGCATCAGTGCCCATGTTTTCGGCCTCAGTCATCTGCTCAACAGATTCGGGAGCGGCGTCGAACGTCTTTAAAAGATTTCCGTGGCTCTCAAAGTCGACGGATCCCCTGATGCCGAGCTGAATACGTAGCTGCTCATCCTTGTACGCTTTGTTGAGTAGCATCTCGACGGCGTCCTCAACATTTGAGCGTTCGAAGTGTCGAAGTCCTATCTCGCTCGCGATCAGACGAATCTTGGATTTTAGAGCGTCGGTATCTCTTATACATGGGAAAATGGGGTTAGAACAGAAGGGCTGGTCTGATAGAAGATTCCAGATTTTTTCTTGCTGCTCTGGAAACTCATCCCACGGAATGATGCGTCGAGGGTATACGCGGCCAGTTGGGCTTGTAGTTTTGCCTCGAGTAGTCAGCTTCTTGTTGGTTTGTACTTTGATAGCCATGCTAATGGAGTGACAAGCTTCGAGATATTGTCTGAGCGCCTGTGGCCGTAACTGTTTCTCAGCTTCTTCTGCACGTTTCTCAGCTTCTTCGCGTCCGCGTCTCTCAGCTTCACGCCCGCGTCTCTCAGCTTCGCGCCCACGTCTCTCAGCTTCCAACCTGCGTGTCAATTCTAACACAAGACGATCGTTGTTATCCCCCATTGTAGTGATAGTATTGCAAATGAAAGGGACCGATGGTTTTGCTATGAATGGGGACGTGAAGTGTTTTGATCGGAGCTTATGCTTGTGTTTAGGGTGTTTTCTTTGTGGAAAGGGAAGGACGTTTAGATAACGCGGTAGGTTAAGAATATACTGAAAGGTCTAAACCTCGAAGACAATTAAGCGTAACTTCTAGTGAGTTGCTGTCATAAGGCAGATAGGGGTAAATACACGTAAGTAGGGGCTGTGATAATGGGGTCTTAATGACGTGTAGGTATTGTGGTGAAAGTCTTTGCTATGTAAGTAGGGAGAGATACGAGGTAATATATTTGATCTATTCCTCAGATCATTTGGTAGTGACTATTTAAATTTATAGGTTGTACTGTTGCTAGGTGTTACATTCCTAGGCAGGCACTCGCACAGTTGCTAGGGAGCCACCGTGCGGTTTCCAGTTTCCAGGTTTAAAATTTTAGTTCCTAGTTTCCAGGCAACCAGGTTTGATGGAAACTTAAGAACGTATTCCCGTAGTTTGCAGGTACCTAGGTATACATATAGGAACTTGAAAGATAGTGCCTGAAGTGCTCATAATAGATATTATAGACATAGTGAGTGTTGAAGGCATATATGTATGTGGTATATTGTAGTGATCTAATAACGCTTAGGCTTTTATCACCCTTTGTATAATTGTATTAGACAATAAACCCTTGTGATATCCACCTATCCACACCTCCTTGACACCTTACAACTTAAGACATAACACAACAATTGTCCCAAACCAACTAGGACATGCATGCTTTATAAGGATATATATATATCTTATACCTATTATACAAATTGCACAAGAACCTTATAGTATATCCACCTTACCTCCTTTCTTTCCTTACCTAATCTTTTAGTTACCTTCTACTTTCGATCTTGGTTGCTTTGCCGCAAGTTTCAATCAAATCTACATAATAAAAGACTAAGTGAGTTTAACCCGCTTTGCCTTTTATTACTAACTTAGGTATTTACTTACTAACCTAAAAACCATATATGCAGCGTTGTCAATACAATATCCCGAACCCGAACAAGTTCGGGCAAATCAATAGTAAGTCTTAAATCTTTTTATCTGAACTTTCACCTTACTTTTCCTTTTTCCCCATCCTTACATAGGTAGGTAGGTAGTTAGGTAACTGTATTTCTATCCTTGTGCCCGAACTTGTGCCCGAATTTGTTTGTCCGAATTTGTTTGCCCGAACTTGTTTGCCCGAACTTGTTTAAGATTTGCAAGGTCCGGATCAGCTACATGTAAATCCACGCGTGTACACACACTTGACCAATTTTCGTGTATGTAATACATATATCCACGAGAGGGTTGGCCGTGGATGTATTTAGTTGATCCGGACCTTGGCTAGATAAAATCAAAACAAGAATCTGCGTGATATTAGCGCGCGACAGGACCCAAGTGAAAGCATATCCGCGAACGCACACATAGCTGATGCCAACAATCGTAGAAGAAAAAAAACATTAGTAATTAGGCAATCTGGCCCCTTAAAACTTATAAGGAGGAATACTTCGAAAGATAGATCGTCTTTCTATTTTAATAAGACGTACGATTATTTAGCATATAAGTAGCCAGATTGAGACTGAAGCTTGGAAAAAGCCTTTGTTACTTTTACAGTATTGGTATCTTATTTTATAAATAAGACTAAAAGATAATGAAATCCTAGCCGATAGGACCCAATTGTTCCTTTAGCGTAGATTTCGGTGGCCAACTCGGGGATACTGCTCGAGTTACGTTATGTTACCAGGTTATATAGCTTAATAACTTATGTAGCAAAGGTGATCGGTTGGCAAGGGCGTTAGAAGCACTGAGAGCACTGAAAACACTAGGCGTGCTCAAGGCGTCAGAAGCTGAGAAGGCGTATTAATCAATTGAGGCACGGGTACGTGGCCTGCTATGGTTTGGGTATTGTTAGGAACAGGGTTGATTTCGAAGGTGCTTTTGCTAATAATGCTAGCTGATCTAGTTTTTTACTTTATTTACGTATAGGTATTCCAACTTAAAAAACTATACGAAAACAATAGTAAAATGAGAGGAAGAGAATTGGGGTCGGGCCGAATACCAAGAATAAGAAGCTGTTTGATCGCTTGCTTCTATTCCTACCACCGCTTGCAGCTGGCATCGACTCTGTTGGGCCTTTTGTGCTTATGCCCCTCCTCCATATAATATAGAGTGATGTTATTTCAATAGTAGTGGTACTTTAATAATAGTCCAATTCTAGGACTGCCTCTCTCACCGCCTGCCCAAAGGGTTTATTACTTAGAAATTCCCTCCCTATCCGCACTCATATACAACACGGCAACCATTATATCGTATTGAATCCAACGATCTAATATATGAAAATTGCATGGTCGATTCTACTTTGAATAGAGCTTTCTAATGATATAAATTTCAATTAAATGCATGCGGGATTTCAAAAGCTATTCGAAGATATATTCAATAAGCGCGCTACCGCTAAAGCGCCTCCCGCAAAGCCTCATTCAATTACATACCACATATCAACCATTAATAGCTTTTGAAATACTACATGCATCTAATCGAGGCTTATATTATTAGAAAGCTCCAATTAAGGCGAAACTGGATATGTAACTTTGATATGTTATATCTTTTGATTGAAGAGGATAGGATAGTCAATTAAATGTTGATGTTTCGCGGAAAGGGGGCGCTACCTACCACTTATACCTACTTGTAGGTATCTACCTATGCCTTGCGCTTGAATAGCTTTTGAAATATTGTAAGCACGGGTTCACGGAACTGGAGCAGCTACATTTGCTCGAAAGGGAACAGGAATCTCGTGAAGGCAGGAGTCTGACACAGAAGATGGCGGATCGCGTCAACGGGTGGTTTCGCCGTGAAGGCGATCCCCAAGCCCGGCCTACCGGTCTGCAGTATCCCCCGGTTCCTCAAACTACAGACGTGGCGCCGACAGACGTCAGCAGCGATAGCTGGCCGGCGGCAAGGTCATTATCGCGTTCAGCATCCAATACGTCAATCCATTCCGCGGCTGCGCCCTCGGCGGCCGCAACGGACGCCACCTCCGAACCACGCCACTGGGGAACAGCGGGCGGACCGCTGAATGGATCCCAGAGAAAACGCTCTGCGGACGATGGGGAGCTGCTCCTAAATTTGCGCTCTACGAAACGCAACAGAGCACTGCGGTCCAACGCAGCTCCGGCAGCCGCGGGAACGCCATGGTCGCCTCTGGGAACCGAAGACAGACTGGATCCTCGCCGAAAGCGTAAGCTCTCATCGTCAGGACTCATACCTGAGACCGAGCCAGCCAACCAGACGAGTCGGCGGCACCGTCCAGCACCGATACCCGCCATGTCGCCGCCGGGTTTGAAGCGCAGGAACTGCCCGGATATCGCAGACGAAGAGGGACAAGGCAGGCATCTCGCCAAGCGCAGGAAATCACAGCAAACCACAGCACGAGTGCCAGCGACGGATTTTCCACGGCGACTGCGTGAACCACGCCCTCGAAAGGAGGTGGCAACGACCAGAAGCAGACCTGGAAATGGGCGCGGGAAGGACCTAGCCCAGCCGAGGAAGCAAGCTGTTCCTAAACCAAACTACCAACTGGAACTGAGGAAGAGCGCACGCATAGCAGCTCTGCGGCCAAAGAAATACAGATAAGGACGCTTTTCAGAACCGGGCCTCGGGTGCCAGAACGTGGTAGAGAGTCTGTTCGGAGCTACCCGGAAGCATTCACACCATCACAATCCGTCATCTTTGAATAAGAGAGGAGGGGGCACAATGAGGAGGAGGAGGAAGTGGGCAGGTTAACGTTTGCTCTATTATTAAGCCTTTAAACTTCCGAGGATTGATATGGTCCCGGAGGCTCCGTACGCCGCGCAGATCTAATGCCGAGACAAAGGTAACGTCTTCAGGCTTGTGAATCATGCTTGTGGAGACTCGTTTCTCTCTGCGATTTCGGTGGCTTAACGTACGAGGAATTAGGATTAAATAGTAGAAGCTTACCCCATTCGGGCTTTTACAACCATAATTCCGGACTAATATCGGCAATTACTACGAATCTATTTAGCGTTGCATCCGCCTTTTACACAATTCTTACACTAGCTATACTAACGTAGAAGTGGGCTCTTCAAGTTAAGCAAGGAAATGGAAGTTTATAAGCAGATAGTTAATAACTTATTCTGAAACCACGAATTTCCAAGCAATATACATATATTATGGGCAAAGGATGTTATTCTAAAATACTGGATGAATAAATATACCAATACTAACGAAGTTCTACCAAACGATTTTCCCGTGGGTGGCCGCAGCCAAACGGAACCTAACGCTCGACGAACTCCGCGAAGCCATATCCACAGATATTGGTCAAGCATACTCAAAACGCGAGAAACTCGTTAACGGCATAGAACACATTGTCACGTGGTGTGAAAATCAGGTGGATGAAGTGCGCCAGACAGTCCAATTTGCACATGGGACTATCCACAATTTCATCACTGGGAATTGTTCAAAGCCTCAGCTCGCTAACTTTAACGTCGACCTAGAGGGCGCAGATCACCACGCTGGAGAGATATGCGTCACATACTTACACTTGAACAATTTCAAGACCACCTCAGCTCGACGACCGCAACCGATTCACCCTCTTGTGCCCACAGAGATAGCGCAAGCTGCTCTGGGCCGTCATGGGAGGATAGCACAACCAACACTTCATTTTATGGGCTTTAACTAATTCAAATCATCACTGTGATAAATGTTGATATGGGAGCTTTAGTCAGCTATGAGAGAACTGATGCAAATGAAACCTTGGACAGACTTCAACTTGGTCACCCTTTCCTTAGGTATGCAGGAAAACATTAGACCCCGCCTACGATCAGGTTTCGAGACGGGAGGTCGATTACATGGAATTTAGGGCGGCACATTGTTACTGATGGTCATGTTCTAGCGCAGAAGCCTTGGCCAGATCCCGACTTCAACTCGAGTCGGGCAGAAATCCTGCGTTGGAGCTACGAAGCACAGAGGCCCAACGGCCCTCCAGGCAGCTTCTGAAAGAGGCCATCTAGAAGAGCGATTAAAAACTTCTGGAGCATCTGGACCCCAGGTAACTTGAAATTGTAGACCTAGGACTTAGATATAAGCGGAACTAATTTATAGACCCCTTCAAAGGGAGCAAAATCATGGACGCGTTAGTGATCGGTTGTCAGGGGTATGAGGGTACTAGTGCGGATTGGGCCGTAAGGCCCACTGGGATAGTGTATATAAGGAGCACGCTGCTCCCTCGAAGGAGACTCGGGGTGCAAGCGCTAATAGATCACTACTATGTACTGCATATTTTACATTCTACGTGCTACTGCTTCTAGTATTCACTCTATGTACGACATACATCACGGGATCTCTCTGACATCAGTGGTGTTTGGCGATTCACAACAGCCAAATGTGCCTTGATGTAAAATCAGCTCCCAGATCGAGTAAGATTGGATAGCAGTAGGGGGCATGTTCAAGTACGTAATATGAGTTTGGACCTCGTGTTCATGCCAAGACTCGACAGCGTCCATGCAGAAAGAATTTAAAGATAGAAATCAGGAAGAAGCCGATTTCGATCGCTACTGTAGGTCCGGCAAATATAATTCGACTTATAACCTGGTATCTTGAGGCGTGTCGTTTATGTGTTTAAGGTGTCCAAGACTCCTACGAAGAAGGGGACCGGCCCTCGACGGTGATTGAATGCGTCTGAAGACTTATCGTCTGAAGCTCAACTGCCGGTGCCTGGAATGAATGACCCAGACTTACTGCCTCAGGCTGCTCCTATACCGCGACGAAGGAACGAGCGCTTATAGGGGCCAGAGCCTAGCAGGGCTGCAGATACCGCTATGGTAGCTCCTGCAGACTTAACGGCATCTCCCAAATCAAAGCTGAAGGGAATTATGGATAGTAATCCGACGTCCGCAGCTCCAGAAAAACCCTCAGGGGGTATCTAAACGACAGGATACAAAGCAGCATAAGGCGAAATAGGACGAGTACGTAATGATGGCTCTCTTTAATGGAAGTTACTCTGGGTATATGTAGATTAGTTGGCTAACAGGACAAAATATAAGTAGGGCTCCAACAAGGGTAAATAATTAGCTTAGGAACGTAGATAGAAGACTTCGAACAAACTTGCTATGGTTCGTCGTCGCCTGACTTTTCTCTAGTCCCATACTTTGCACTGAGACGCTGTAGTACCGAGAAAACTATTAGGAATATTATCAGGCTTAAGCCAGGTTACGCGGCTGGGAAAGCCTTATTCATAGTGTATATATAAGCAAATAACACGACTGACCCCAAACCCTCTTATCTAAACCAGATATCGTTTTGTCCCCTCCCCAGATAAGCTACTTATTTACTGTGTTTAACTTTACTTAAGCCGGCTTAGCCCGTCCTATGAATTGCTGACTTTATTGGCACGCTTTTTTAATTTCGTACAGTATTGTACCTGTAGGGTCCCCTTACTCCGCCGTAAAAAGGCTTCCGTGAACTGCGTATGGGTTTCCTACTAAGATAGCCCCTGGTTCTTTAGTTTGATGAGAAGGTCGTCTTCCTCTATTGTAAATGCGGCTCTCGTTATTAGTATATACTTTGCTGAACTACGGCTCTTAGGTGGGTCTCGTCGATTTCGAGTCTTATATCCGTTTTTCGTACAGGAATCCCAACTGAATTGTAGCTGGAAAGTCGTTATACCATTCTCCGTTACGCGTTTGAGACACGCGTTTTCAAGTAGCCATTCCTCGGATTTCGCAAAGGCAGATTTTATAGACCCTTAATTATTATATAAAGTATGCAATAATAGTGGGCTGGGAATTATTTGCTAACAGGGGCGCCTTTGGCCACGGGCTGGTGTTTGGAACTTCCTCGTTTGGAAGATATGATTATATAGGTGAAAACGCTATGTAAATGTACTGTTGAGAGTTGCGTGGGTAAGAAAGTCGATTTTGCTACGCTTGCGGGGGGTAGGCCGGACGCCAATATCATCTTCATTATCTTGCTCCCCTTCGTTGCCCTCGATAGGAAGCTGATAGTCCTCTTCGTCATTCGAATCGTTTTGAGGGTTGCTGTGGTTACTATTATTGCTATTATTATCGATAGAAGCATCATAAGGACCATGCGAAGGACTCGGTTGTAGGATATGAAACCCCCTGTGGGTTCTGGACCATCACGCCGTATATAGCATCTTCAATCATCGATGTGCGGTTGTCTTTGCATTAAGCTTTATTAGCGCGACTGGGCGAATCTGGATCAGTTTAAGATGCTGACGAGGAAGACAATAGTCTTGCCGAAGATGCCAGAGCTGTAGGATCCCTCATGATATTTGAAAGTAAGGATACAATCTCTTGGTTTAGCTCCGCTACTCCAGCTGTAAAGGACAGCTCTGCGGCATCGCTACTACTAATGGTATCAAATGTCCCGTTAGGACTTGCGTTTAGGAAAGTTGTTAGCCACTTTCCCGTCGTACCGAGGGTTGGAAAGTGCTAATACATATCTGGATCGGTAGTATTGTTAGATTTAACGGCTATTCGGTTGGCAGACGCTAATAACTTATGGACCAGCGGAAAGGAGATGTTGGACTAGCCGTTATCAAAATTATTATAGTCTAAATCATTATTGTTTAAAATAAATATCGCATCGTTCTTTAAAGTTCCAGCAGCACTGGGTTGAGGATCGTATGCCTCGTCCTTCCGCTAGAAGATAATTTGACGCCTAGAGGATGCTTAGAGAACGCCTCAGAGGACGCTATAGAGGCATATCGTCGCGGCTTTAGATTTACTACTCCAGAGGGGTTAAAGAACCTTTAGGTATTAAAGGTAATATATATTATCGTATTGAAAGTGTTGTATAAGAAAAGAGATTTAGAAATAACGACCAAGAGAATGTTTGGTGCGTGAGATAAGTGTTTTACTTAGGCATTCTCGCGCATTTAAACGTACGGACAGCAAGCGACAAGAGAAATATATATATGTGTGCGAGAGCAAAAGCTTAACATAGCACTCGGGCCCCCAGCCCCCTTTCCAGTCCTGAATAGCCCGCAACAAGGCATACTCCGTTTCAAGCGTAACTCCCTATTGGGATTCTCGTACCTCTGCTGATTACGCAACTACCGAGACAGAATGCAGCTGGAGCGTAATTTCTTGGTGGAACCGGAAAAGCAAAGCCTCAATCCCTCCCCTTGTCCCCCGTCCCTCGTACCTCTACCAATCACGTAGCTCTCGAGAAAGGCAAAACACAGCGAACGAGGTAGCAATTATGGATCTCGCCGCATATCACGCCTCCTCATCTGCGACATATTACCTGCGGATTGTCCGGAGATTGGCTAAAGTAGACGATCCGTTACGACCTCGTACATCGCTTCGCCTCCTCTTCTTATAACAGCAGCCTAGGCACTGCCAATAGCAACCCAGGATCCTACCGGGCTGCCTCTCGCGGCCATCGACTCGGCCCATCAGCTCTCCGGACAACCTATGTCTGCCTAGCCTAACACCGCATGAATGAGGTACGAATCGTAAGTGTGCGGGGATGTGAATCCGTCTGCAGTGTCTCATGGGTCACCAACAGCGCGTAAGAAAGGCCACGTCATCCTGCAATCCCTTCTCCTTTTCCTTCTGCCTTCCTCTCGTCCAGTGCCTTCCATTGCCCCTGCCGTACGAAGATTATTTCCTCACCAGAACTCAACCCCATTAGGCAACTTCGCCATGTCCTTATTTGCGGTTTATCTTCATCTTCCCCCTGCAGCTTGGGCTCGGTCATCCCGTAAGTGACAGTATATCCGAGATCAACACCAGTTGGTTCAGGCCCTCTCGCCAGCCCAACGTCCCCACCTGTCCTGTTACACCTGCAGTATCACGGGGAACAGCGCTGTAATCGGTCCGACCATGATCAAGAGGGTACCCAGCTCGTGCAGAGACGCCCAACACAGCCATGCCAAAGACAGGTGTCTCCGGTGTCTCCGCGTTGACGTAATTACCCCTTTGTGCCTATGACATTCTTGTGACTGGCAAAGATAGGAAGGTATGGGATTGTGCCCACAGCCACCGAGGCAGATATGGAGCGCCGGGCTTTAGAGGCGGTTGTAGCAGGCAGAGGTTTGGGTGGTCGAGGTTCGTCGCGAGTAGGTCTGTACACTATGTGAAAGGATGTGGTATTGTAGTTGACGAAGGTCGTCGGGTCAAGGCGAACAAAGCCCAGGGCGAGAGAGTCGTGGGAGCGATGACAAGGGACCGGCGGATGGACCGAGTAGGCAACAGGTTGGCATTGCTGCCGAATAGACCAGGTGAGTCAAGAGTACAAGAAGTGTACGTCGGGAAGAGGGCTACCTTAGGTATTTATGTTGCGACGTGTGGTCCGCGGCGGCGCTATGCCCGATCGGGACTACCGCCAAACCCGGAGGGAGCAGCAGCGTGTCCGCGATTACAGAATTAACTTACATATAATACAACCAATCCGCTAAAGCTATACGCAATGAAAATAATAAGGTATTCCGGAACATCAGTACAAAAATTGTACAGGCTCTTTACCAACTCTTCGCCGCAGAGCGTGAGACGGGTCTTAGGGGCATCGGCGTGCCATCTTAACTCGTAATTGTAGGCTATAATACGCGCGTCCAGGACTAGGCGCGGAAGCATATCGGGATTTTTAAGCCAGTAAACTAGTAGCCGGTGGCTTTTTTTGTCCTGCCAGGTCCATGACCAGTTTATATTTGAGCCGAGTCCATAAACAGCGACAATGCTAAACTAAAGATTAAAACTGCAAATCTAAAGGGATCTAAAAGAATATACTTAACTTTAATCTCGTTATAAATGTTCAAGTTCGGGCTAAAGTATAGGACCTTAAGAGGCAATCAGTTTGTTGGTTTCTAGTTGGGATTAAGAAAAGTGTCTTCCTCGATCATTTAATAAGCTTATTAACCTAAGTGCCCGTATAAGAACTCTCGGCAGCAACATTTTCCTGTTGCGGGCCATGTTCTGCCTTAGCGAAAAGGTTGCGTAGCATCGCGGTGCCGTGTGGAGGGAGCTAGGCCTCGGGAGTAGGCATGGGATTCGAATGCGGATAGTTTAGCGTTCAAGAACTAGCATCAGGTGGTAATATTGCCGTTATAACATAACCTGCAATAATAAGACTAGCGAAGATATGCCCTGAGTGCCCTGAGTGCCCTGAGTTTACGAAGGGTTATTGTCACCAACTTTGCATATGTAAGTTCGCTGGGTTCAATGTTTTAGGGTAGAAATACCGCGGCTGGACGTGTGGCTAAGTCTGGTGTGAGTGCACAGTGCCACTCATGAGCCACGGACTAATGTCAATACATTACATATGTAGGTACCTAACATAATGTTGTCATGTGGTTTTCAACATGTTAAACCCTGGCCCGAGCCCGTGCCCGTGCTACTCTAGCATTGTCTGCGAACTTCTCATATGACCATCGGAAATAGCCCGCCGCGCTTTGATGAGGTAAAGAACCAAGGCAGTTAAGTGAGTCCATGGCATTGTTATGCTTCCCCTGGGTCATTTCCTTGCAAGTACGCCATGATTCTAGCCCTACTTTTGCAATAGAGCAAAACCCGCTTGCCCATTCAAACGATTTGGTTTTTTTCAGCAGCTGCCGGGAATACACCATGTAACCCTGAATATTGCTTACGATGGCGCAGAATTCCTCCTGCTTTTGATGGAGACCCTCCAGCATTTCGGCCATGTCCTTCTCCACTTCTACATAGTGCTGATATGTCATTGATGCCTCGTTATCCGTTACTAAAGCTAGAGCTTCTAGCTCCACGGCAGCAGCCCTCCGTTGCAAGATCATGTACCAGCTAGCACTTGATGACATAATGCTTAAATACCAGTTTAACCGGTATTCTATCTCGCATCTTCTAATCGTAATGTTCCGGGCAAGGGTATGAGATTGATCTTCATACCTTTGAAGCCGTTTTATTTCTTTGTCAATTTTATTGAACACCGAAACATCTGGTAATGACGAGGTATACTCTATGTTGTTCTTTGTCAACATAGGAGCTAAATTTGTTGCTTGGCATTCGAGCCCTGTGATATCAAGGTTCACTAAAAGGCTAAATGTCTTCAACGAGTGTTGACAATGATCGACATTTCCATCGTATACCGGCGGGCGTTGGAAAGACCAGGAAAAGTTAACAAGAAGGATAAAGATAAGAAATATTAATATTGCCATACACGAACAAAAACACTTGTTGACACATGTTTTGCGAGATTTGCTAAGTTTTTCGTGCTTTTGTTCTTCTTCTAGTTCTTTCTTTAGACGTTCATATACGTTTATATCACCAAGCGGACGCGACATGATAAAGAGATCCTTCAATCCACGGGGGAAGCTTCGGTTATTGGTTTGTAAGTCTCTACACAAGTAGGCTTTGGTAAAAGGAGGGTATTGTATGTAGAAGTAATAGCAAGTCTAAAGGTTGGAAAATTAATCAAGACATTATGTCATGTTTTTATACTTGTCCTCTTTATTTACTACTGCTTTGATTTCATTGCTGGTTTCTATTGAAGTCTTTCCTGTACCCTTTTTGTTCACTTCTATCGCATTCACTTTACGTTCTTATTTATTCATCTACCCGCTCGCGCTCTCTTCTTACAAGCAGAAACAATCACATTAGGCCAATTCTTCAGTTCTACCTCAACTAGTTATACTTTATTAGTCCAGAGTATTTCGTTTACCATGGCATGTCATAAACCAAAATAAAAAATTACGCCAAAATCCCAAAAAGCGAAGAAAAAAAGGGATCGCCAGAAAGCCAGAGTACAAAAGCTAAAGGCTCAATCGCGTGCGAGATCGGAAACAACACGCTCTCAGGGCCTAGTAAGTGTCCACACCTACTACTCTGCTGTTTCGGGTAACTAAACAGCCCGCTAATCTTAATCCCTTAGCCGGCGCCCAAACCGTGTCACCTTTGCCATAAAAAGGGTCACTGGTCTCAAGATTGCAGCAAGTACGGAAAATGGCGAGCGAAAATGGACAAGAAGTCCATTTGAAGATCTCAATCGCAATTATGTGACCGAACTGTCCGAATTAAGGTTGTTTTTTGGTTTCGGATCGGGACGTCGGAATGCTCGACTTTAGGGGATAACGTTCCCCAATCTACCTTCCTACCTACCTAAGGTAAGGTAGCCTGAGCTGTTGTACCTTACCTAGGTACCTTTAGGGACTTACCTACTTAAAGCATGTACCCTCTTACACCTTACTAAGCTGCTAAGTTAGATCAGGCGCCTATAAATAAAGTTAGCCCAGGTACCTAATCTCCTCTGCTCGGTTATGCGGCCGCAGCTGAAGCTGCGTGGATACGGTGTGACGTATAGCTCCCGTATTGCCGCTGCGGGTTTAGCCAATTTAAGATTAGCTGCTTCCTTTTGATTGGCCATTAAATGTATGAGTTGGAGCAGTCTGCTTGCCTGCTTTTATTGGTTGAAGATGTAGTGTGTTCTTGTAATGAAGTGAAGTTGTGACTTTTGAAAACCTCAAATTGTATGAAATCCCAAGTATTAACATTAAAATCTTGTGCTTCACGGAGCTTCATCACGCCACATATAACGCATATTATGACTAAGCTACAAGAATGGGCGACTTTTTTTTTGAGCGTTTCCGCCCTTACGGGATGCATCTGCTTTCTCCTCTCTCATCGTTCTGCCTCTCACCACCATCGATCATCACCAACATAACTGCTTCTCATTGTCATTTATTGTTACTACGAACCTGCCCCACCTACCCCACCACTTCGCAATAACCTCAAGTCCAAAATGTCAAGCGGATGAATCCAGCTTGGAAGAGGGGGCGGGCCCCAACTGTAGAGAACGGCCAGGCTACCGGCGCTCCCAGACGAAAGAGCTCCAGGAGCCACTCTACATATGAGAGATGAATAAAATTATTGGGGGGACTCGCATCATGGTCTTGGCGAGGGTTGCTGTGGCACAAGGGTTATAAAAGAGATTCTATTATGGTTGGGTAACACTTCGAGATAGTATTTGGAGGGCTCGGTCTAATACATGCTTTATACCTACCTACCTACCTCGTGAGATATCAATGCTAATACGTTTAACAATGACCCTTTATGACTTACTTCCATGGCGTCAAAACCGTTGGAAAGGATGTTACCTGTATCAACCATATGGGATAGGATTCCAAGAATATCAACACCCGTCACCCACCCCTTAGTAACTAGCACTTAGGTCAGACCAACTGCTATGATAATAATCCGACGTATCAAAACGCAGTGTCGAATAAGTTCCCCGTTAAATATGGCTTGTGCTTAAAGCAATGTCAGAAACAGGCCATTTAAGCGACTTGCCGAACAGATCTGAGCAAGATCGGCTGGTAGCGAGATTCCGCTTCCATGGTTCAGTTTACTGACCCCTGCTCGGGTCCTCGGAGGATAACAAGTAAAAGCTAGGGAATTTTCCATACCAAACCTGCTGTGGAGACGCTAACCTTCAGGATCCTGGCGGAGGGCCGTCAGGCTCGAAAATTAATGGCTGGGTCTTGGCGTTATCAGATTTTCAATTCTGTCAAACAATAAGTACTATTAAAAATAAATAAAAAATATCGCAATCTTTGTTAAAAGATTTTGTATATAACTATTACCTTTTTCAAATATTTACGATTTATCCCTGTGGTTATTTTCGTGTTAAAGATGGTACTGTTTCTGGAGAGAAATGCCAAGACCCGGCCATTAATTCTCGAGCCTGACGGAGGGGTAGCTCTCAACTCGCCCCATCCTTGCATGTTACCTGTGCGCATCTGGTCCCTGACAACATCGTATCCACTCAGCAAGTCATCGGGAATAGGGTTCGACGACAGCGAGACAGCTATGAGAATAAGGCTTACGGATGTTCGGAAGGAAAGGGATCGAGACGGACGACGACAGAACGACAAGATCGCTGTGAGGGGAGGGGGATGAAGTCAGGAGGTTATCTGAGATCTGAGGGCATTTCGATATCCCTTTCCGACAGATGTGACGTATAGCTGCCGTGTAGCTGCTTCCTTTTACTAAGCTAGTGCAATTCGCTTACTTTTATTAGTTGAAAGGTAGTGTGGGTAGCGTAGGTGCTTGAACTGGAAGTCGTTAGAAGTAGCTTATAAAACCACGTCTATTATTAGAATAATTTACCACCACCTTTGACCATTGTACTGTGAGCTTCGATACTTGGTTTGTATTATTACCTACCTAGGTAACTAGGCCCCTATTCATAATCTCAATAGGGGGAGGGGGGAAGGCATATCGTCCTTTACCATAAGACACTTGAACATTTTTACGTACCTAGTATATGACAGGGCATCCAAGGCTTGGTATCTCGCGGGGTCTACTACACATGTATGAGTTACGCTTGATGGATTGCTAATTTTATACCTTGTCGATTAGTGGTGTCATTACTAGAGGTCTCATCAACATGTCAATCTTAAAAAAAAGAAGTCTTAAAGATAGTTAGATCGTAAACAGTTTCAAAGGGCTGGGGAGAATTGATCTTCTGAAGGGGGTATTCGCCAAGTCTTGCCGAGAGTGGGTTTGCTTGGTCTTGGTCTTGGTGTTGTTATACGAAAGAGGGTATGTCGTCTTCACTGCAGTCTTATTAGCTGTTCTTTTAGCGAATTTTAAGGTAATTAACTTCTGTAGGACTTTGTTATGTCCAGTCTCTTGTTAAGGAAGTCTCAAAGTTTGAGCAGGAAAGAGTCAAGTTTGACGAGAAGCGCAAATTCCTGACTGATAAGTAGAATAAACTAGAGAAGACGATTGCGACTGCTGAAAGATCTGCAGCAGAAGCTGAAGAAACTGTTGAACAGTGCATTGAAGAGATTGCTTCGCGTGCCGAAGAAATCGCAGCTCTTAAACAACGTATGTAAAAAGAGGAGGCGGAACTTGCAACGATATAAGACAGCTTAAAAGGTAAGACACAAGGTTTCTCGGTCCAGATCGCTGCGAAACAATAGTCCCTCGAGCCTTGGAAGGAAAAGATTAATCAGAAGCAGTCTGCGATTGCTGTCGCAGAGTCTGAAATGGCTATTCTAAAAGAGAAGGCTAATTCTGGCGCTGTTGCACTTGAAGAGATCTAGACAAAGATTGCTAACGTAGAACATTGGTTACGTCTATTTAGTTTCGCGGCATGGTGTTACTTATGCCCGAACTTATTCGAAATATTACCTTAACCAAACCCGTCCGGATTACGTACCGCTTCGAAAGCTGCCTTACTCCGCGTGATGAAGTTAGTTCTTTAGCCACCCCAACAGTTACAAGTTATGGGGGGCTGATTCCGAGCCCTGCCACCTCCCATTATAATTTTATGGTTGAGTAGAATAGTTGACTGAATAGACTGAATAGACTGAATAGATTGTGATCGACTTGATCGAAGTGGTGGATTGAAGAGTATGTGTATTTAAGGGGTATTGGTAGTTTAGTGGATTGGGATGGTTTTACGTAGGTAGGTACCTACCTAGGTTTCGTACCTACCTACCTAACGTGTTACATTCTAGGATTTAATACAATATAGTGCTCGAAATAATTTAGGTGAAAAGTTCTAATCCTAACCCTGATAAGAGCATCTAATTTGTACAGGTGCACCCTCTCGTGCGGGTTCCAATAATGAAATTTGAAAAACCGAGTGTGTCCGTGTTTTTGGCGGTAATTATAGTTTATAGTTACCTAGTTTCTGAAATAACTTCTTCAATCTGAAAAGGACCAAGTTTCTTAAAATCGAATTTCTCGCTCGGTCTTTTGGTTTTGATGTTTCGTCGTAGTAGGTAACCTTGTCTCCCCTCCTGAAGATTGGTCCCTTGATCTTGTGTTTGTCACTGTATTTCTTCATTCTGTCCTGTAGAAATCTTAATTCGTTGGCTAGATGTTTTTGAGTGGCGATGACTTGTTCCGCTGTGGCCTCTGCTCTAGGCGTAACCTCATCTCCTCTTATTACATCGGTCAGTTCCTGTGAGTGGTAATACCACTCATGTCAGATAGACTGTAATAGCAATTGTGCTATTAAGAAATACACTTTTGGCTCAGCGGTGTATCCGTCAGTTCGGTTATTGTAAAGTCGTAGCCGGTGTTTGCCTTGAAAGGTGACATCTTCATATCCTCGTTGGTAGAGCTATTGTATGCTATCTCCGCTTGTGGTAGCAATTCTACCCAGTTGTCTTGCATTTCGTTGACGTATGTACGAAGATATTGTTCTAGGGCTTGATTTAGTCGTTCTGTTTGTCCACCTGACTGTGGATTATAAGCAGTAAAAAGCTTCTGCTTAACACCCATTCTCTTAGTTAGGCTGGTCCAGAACTTAGAGGTAAAAAACTTATCTCTGTCCGAAATAATGCATTCTAGTAGCCCATGTTTGCTGACTATATTCTTGAAAAAGGCATATGCAAGGTCCTCTGCTGTGCTGGATTCTTGATATAGCACGAAGTATCCATATTTGGTTAATCTGTCAACTACTACCCATATACTGTCATATGGCGTGTTGGTCATTGGTTCTCTTGACTCTAGTAACTTGGTAATGAAGTCCCAAGCAATGGTTTTCCATGCCCTATCTGGTATCTCTGTCACGTCGCAGAGCATGCAGTAGGTAAAACAACTTCATTGTTCCGCAAGGAACTCTAATTACAGTTGCTTTGAAGCCAAAGCTATATACAGAACAGCTCCTTTGTTCCAAGGAGTCTCAAGTGAGACTCCTGACACCAGCCAGTATCCGGTCCGGTCCATCCCGTTTCCATAACCTTACATTCCGATTTGTACAGCTGCCACAGTAATGTCGTATACACATATAATTTCTCCCTCATAAGACACAATTTGTGGTGGGGTAAGAACAAGTCCAGCACGTCAAACGTATAAGTCACACGGGGTTCTCACAATATCACATGATCGTCCCAACGACGTAATAAGATGGCTCCATCACTATGTTCACATCCTCCTATCGTAGGCCGTCCCGCTCGTATTTCTTCCTAACCTTTTCTACGGTCTAACCCCGTTCTTTACCCCGCTCTCCCTGGCTTGATTTTCCTTCCCACATTTATACTACGTATCCTTTTTTTTGACTTTTTTCGTTCCGCTCGTATTTTCCTTTTCTTTAAACCATCTAATAGGGCCGTCTTTCTTTCGGGCTAGGATCACGACTGTAAAGGAAAGCGTGGAAAGCTGGTCAGTATGGTTCACGTACTGATACGGAACCGCGTATTCAACGTAGACTCTACAATCACTTCAACTACAATCACTTGGATTACAATCGAACTACCATATAAAAATGGCCTAAGAAACGACCTCTTTGCTCCATTATATTCTTATTATATATATATATATCTATGGTCTAATCTCCCATACATATTAATGCAGATATAAATCGGCATAGGTTGTTCGTTTCTATGCCGTTCCACCGTACCCGCTGTCCCTACCACGCATATATGTTCTCTTCCTTTGCACCCCAAAGATTATTTCCCTTCAATGCCTACAACGTATCCCCAAAAACCTCCGGCCTTATATGCTCTAATATGGTTAAAGCCCGGACAAGAACGTCGTGGTATTGACACCACTTCCCGCTCGACCGGAACTTACCCCCGTCCTTATCTACCGCTTCCCGCCGAACGCAAATCGCTTAGGGGAATGCACATCCGAAATAGCTCGAATATAGCTGCATACGGAATTCTATATGATTAATAGTAAAAATGATTTAGGAAAGCATAAATTGATTATTACTTTATGGGTAGTCACAGTAACTAATGGCTTAGAACAGATATTTACCTTATAGGTCCACGCCTAATTAATTTCTATACCGTAATAATTTCTACCTAAACATAATCAACAAGCAACTAATTCGGACCATTTCCACAGGAAAAACAGTAAAAAAACAAGTATTTCCTATGAAATAAAACCCTCAAAATTGTACGGGATAGGACACAGTTCGTAGCGGGGTTAAAACACAATCATCCTAATATCATATTAAAATAACTTTCCTCATGAACAATACATTTTATAATAAACTATTTCCGATAATATAGAATTACAAAATAAATAAATCATAATTACACATAATTTTTACGCTAAATCCATACAGAAACATGGTAACCCTAAGTGGAATAACAAACATCAGCAATAACTAATTAGTATATTTACTACGATCTCTGAAATGTATTATGATATCTAATATTTACTACTATGTTAAGACTTGATATAATGGTGAGTAATAATAGGGCTTACTTTTTATATATATATTTATATGATATAATGTTATAAGGACATTGTACGGCCTCGTAATTATAGCCATTTTAAATATGGAAATAACAGTATGATCAAAAGCACAGAGAGGATTCAAGCAAATATTGGAATAGCCATAACCTAAAACATACTATCTTATTTTAACGAAGTACAATATCCCCTTATCACCATGTTGTTTTCGTTCTTCCCATGGATGTTACTTTTCACCTATATAAGACATCATTATAAAGAATACCTTTCAAGCCCTTTCATATAAAACATAAACTACCATTCATACCTTCAGTCCCTTTTATAACAATTCCCAGTCTCCTTTACAAATAATATAACCACAATGGATGCAGAGGTGATCGGATTGTATGTAAATACCCGACGCGACGGCGAAAAGGCGGAGAAAATTCCAACGGGAGTTATTATCGAAGCCGATCGTAAGGGACTGGTAAGCTCTCCCAACACGGCGCTACGTTGGAAAGGCTTTACGCGTTTCCCTATCCAGATCCGGTCCTGCGCTCGGCTCGAAAATAGCTATACCATCGCTGTCCCCTCTGTCCCTCGATCCCTACGCGTTCAAAAAGCCCCTACAACCACAAGCACCACCATCCCGACCGCAAAGCTAAGCTGCCGCGGCAAAAGTACGAAGCGGGGTACAACCAAGAGAATAATGCTGACAAAAACAAAAAAGGCACCCGTATCGACGGGCACAATAACCGAGGGCGTCGAGCAAGCCCGTGGCGACGGGAGGGCTAGCAGTAATGCAATAAAAAAAGAAGCGCTAACCGAAATAAAGATCGGGATTGCTAATTAGCTTTATTACAGTTATAAATATTTATTAGAATTAGCGAATAACGGGTCGATAGATACAACATACCCTAACTTCGAAGACCATCTGCTACAGCATATTGACCGATCGGAATTCCTCCAGCTGGTACGAGCTCAGCTAGCCGTAGACCGTGGCTCCGATGCGGGCGCTAAGCCGCTGTACGCAGCGGGATCGATTGGGGCAGCTTTTAAAGTTCGCCTTTTTTTCTTATAGGTATACGGTAGTGGTAAAGGGCGTAAAGAAACGCAACTACGCTCGTCTACGATACGAAAAGAGAATATACCACGAATTATGTACCTTTTAAAGAAAATATGTCCCCGTGTATCTAGGGATAGTAAATTTAGTTCTACCGTATTATTATTACGGCTGTGTTAACAAATATTTCCTATTTCTGAGCTGGGCTGGGAGGTCCTACGTTCTTTCGCCTTTTCCGGCCAATGAAACAGAAAGAACGAAGATCATGAACCACGGAATGTCATGTACGATACCGATCAGGAGAAAGTGATGATCGTGAATTTCGAGCGGTCGAAACTCGTGAACGGGGAAAGTCTGGATCCCGATCAACGGAAGCGTAGCAAAACTCATTTGGCATGCGAGTTGGAATCGGCCCTGTACCATATGGACGAATGTATACAGCGGAAAATAGAGGAGGAAAAGTGGGAGGAGGAGAGGAAGCAAGAGGACCGTGAGCGACTTTTACGCTGGAATGGTAAGGTATAATGCCAAAGCGTCTTTACCTTCGTTGTGAAATTCGGGACGAGGATCGTAGTACATAGGAAATAATTAAGTCAAGAGGCACCAAGTTTGTTACGTGGACTCTGTCAAACCAAGGGGGCCAGTGTGGTGGACGATAAGAGGCAGGTTGATATAACCCCTGAGAGGAGGGTGGATAGTATGGATCTGCTTAGGATAGCTTTTAAGGTAAAGAGAAGTAGAAAGGAATGCCAACTTATCTTCACCGATTTCTACCCCTCCACGTAGAAAGATATAGGATGGTACTAAGGACAACCATCATGTCGAAACGGTGGACCTATTCGGATTCCATTTTCGCACGCCGGCGCCGAGGTGGGTCCGATCGGCGCCGCTTCCGTAACCCCAACTTCAAATATGAACGGTAGCAACGATAGTATCTTGTAAATAACGTAATACCGTGAGAATCGCCTGACCGTGACGAGCATTTCGATACCATGCTCAACGACGCCGAGTATCGTTTAACGTCGAAACCATTTACATGTTCGGTCAAACCGACCCTACCCCCGGTCGAGATGGTCACCCCAAGGAAACGTACATCCAGCCGTACACATCAACGACGGCAATGTCGTCAAAATAGATTAGCTCCATCGGAATGGCACTATCTTAAGGCATCATTCCCTACTACGTGGAATAAAAACAAACAAGGGCAGTAAGGCTAGGAATGGAATCGTATTTACCCCGCCATTACCCCGCTTCCTTAGATCGCCACCAACCTCTTCCACACAAACGCTTACCTGTCTTCCCACAACCATACCTTCATCAAGACCTACCAATGCAACCGTCCTTCCACCGCGGCAACCAGAATCGAAGAGATGGGATACGGCCATGCATCTGGCTACGGACGTGGATGGGTCCCAACCGACAAGCACCGAAGAGAATCCATTCGCGACCGACAAACGAAACCATCACTACATCGCGACCCGAAACACGACAAAGCCTCCGTACGATATCCTACCACACGAACCGATTCATATAGACCGGCCAAGGGAACAGACATAGCATGGCTACAAACACGAAAAAGTCGATACGGTAGTAGGTGGAACCATGCGTGCCGGTTCGTCGACAATCACGGACAGCAGTACCGCTGCAACAAGCATGAAAGAGAATCCGTCCTGACCGACAACCCGAACCTCCTTCCCTCGCTACGACAAGCAGAAACGTATCGTACCAACAATGTGAAGGCATTCGGCCGTACGGGGTAAAGCCTGAGAAGAGTTGATTGATATGTTCGATACGGGTTGACGTTAGGTACCTCATACGTCGTATGACGTTAAGGCTGAGGTCTCCTCAGGATTGCTAGGACCTCTGGGCAGAAAGTATATTCACCGCAGAAGATGATATCTAATATATTTTCCTTGTATAAATACCTTTGCCTTTTCCTCTTCCTCGCCATTATCCTTCTACCAGTCGTTCTCCTTCCATTATCCTACCATTATCCTACCATCAATCTCGTTATTACTATCCGTGTTTTAACAGTTTTAATCACCCTCTAGTTGTCCTAAAATTTATTAATATTACATTTTAATAAATTTAAATGTAAATTCGTTATAAAAAAGTGTTTAATTAACGTAATAATTACGCTTTAATAATAGCTATAAAAAGCTATAACATAAGCTATAATTAAGGCCGCGGGGTAATCGTTATTAAAGTTAAATATTTAATCATTCGTTATGTAATCATAGCTTTATATATAAGGCTTGTGCGTAGCACAAGCCATTATTAGAACTTAAACAGTTACAACCTCTTTTGTCAACATATATCTCAAGCACCTATACGTCTGACATCATATTATTTTTGGAAAGTTTTAACTTAAAGTGGTTTAAGCTCAAAGTTTGGAAAAGTACTTTCCTAACATTAACGCTTAACGCACAGACTATACTGTTATAACGAATCCTCATCATAACGAACCTAAACCCTTGTAAAAGTTAATTTGTTATGGCTAGTTTTTACTGTAGTACCTCTGGAAGTACCTACCTAAAATACCAGGACCCGGCCAGTGCCAGGCCGGCAATGGTGGGTGAAATTGGACGGGAGGAAAGAGCGGCCGACCCACAAGGGGACCCGAACATTCCTCGACAATCCGCCGAAACCTTCCTGCAGCGTCAGCTCAAACGCCAACAATAACCAACACAACGCGACGACCTTCGCAACGGCCTACATATCTGCTCAGCTCCCTCTTCACGAACTCGACCTTAAATGATAGGCCGCCGATGGCAGGACAACAGAACAGAAAGCGACAGCGCGCTGACGAGCCCCCGCCGTCCAATATCGAACCTCCAACGAAGAAGGCTAAGACAAGAATCGAGACCGAGCGCAAGGCTTGGGAGTCCCGGGAAAACCACCCTAAGTTCTACGACAGATTGTCTAAGATAAGCCTTACACATGGAGCATTGAAAGAGTTAAACAGAAGAACCCGCTCCCATGGCTCCCATGGCTCCCATCCCTCTCCTCCGGCCCACCCCATTACCGACACTCTTACTTGCATCAGACCCCCTCTAGAGCTGGTTAGGTTTTCAAGACACGGTGGTCCAGACTTGCATGATCTTCGAGGAGTAAGTCGACATGAACTCGACCTGCAGATTGTTGTTCTGACAAGTCCATGTAGTACCCGCACCCACTAACCGATCATCCACATCATATCGACATGATCGCGAGCCGTTCTTCACGAAGCCGGAACACCCGGAACACCCGGTCCATAGATCCAGCCTCGACTCCCCCTACTACAACGACAGCAAAGACCAAGAAGTCGACTCCATATGACCGCAACTTCGATCTTCATTTGACTAACCATGGTGTCCATCAAATATATACCTCAGAAGAGCCAGACTTGGAGGACATCACGGCGGCATTGTCCAAACCGAGACCGTCACTCTCACCTTCGAGGTTCTCTGACGGTGCGTTCAAGGCATTTCAGCAAAATGATGTCCAAGCAAGAGACGAAGACGATGTGTTGGCCACTGTCATCCCGACGATTCTTGGTACGAGCCAATCTAGCCGCAATTGCGCTAGAAACACGGTGTTCAGTGCTCTTGAGCCACTCACAGACGGTACGATTACGGCCGCCCAACCGGACATTTACTGGGGTGCGTATCCCGAAGAGTTGATTCCGTCAGTCCGCAACGAACTTGCTGGCCATATTGTCCCGTCGACGATGCTCGAGAAACCGATGGCGCCTAACGTCTTCATGGAAGCCAAAGGCCCGGATGGCAGTGTAGCTGTGGCAACACGACAAGTTCGTTATGACGGGGCGATCGGGGCACGTGCTATGCACAGTCTGCAAAACTACGGAGTAGAGGAGCCACAGTACGACGGCAAGCCGTACACGTTCAGCTTCCTCTACCACAACGGCCAGCTCAAGAAATACAGCCACCATATGACGGCGCCGACGACAGAGGGAGGGCGGCCCGAGTATCATATGAGTCAGGTTGGTTCATTCGCCATGACGCACAGGCGTGACAGATTTGTTGAGGGAGCCACCGACTTCAGAAACACCCTAGACTTGGCTAAGACGTACCGAGGGAACTTCATCCGGGATGCAAATGCTAGGGAATCTCAAGTGCAGACCGTCGCCGGTCGACGGTACAATACAACCGAGATGCAGTCTACAGAAGACTCGGCTGATGAACTAGCACCTACTCCTCCCTACTACGGGACCCAAGCACAGCACGAGGAGGAATCACCTGACGAATTAGCGCCTTCTCCTTCTGGTTATCTATATGAGGATGACGATTCACAAGATCCGACCGGTATGCCATCAACAGGCATCACAACAAGCTTCACGTCAAGCTTCAGCCCTGATCAGACCCGGTCCAAAAGACAGCGTAGTCCCCATTCTCAGGTCGCAGAATACCATGCACCGAAAACCCGATCACGCGGCACAAGAAGCGTCGAGCCATCCGGTTCCACGCGAGGAGCAGCATCGGTGAGCCCAGCCGAATCCTTCCAAGTGCGGACGTACTGGAAGAAAGAGAGACTTTGTTTCTTGAATAGCCAACAAGAAGAGGTCAAGACGAAAGCAAAGGATTGGGTAGAGCAAGTGTCGCATGATGGGAGCAAGTATTTCTACTCGCAAGGTCCCAAATCCAGAGGGATGTTTTGGACAACCACACTGGCTAAAAAACCTGAGAAAAAAATGAAGCGGTAATGTGAGCATAGGATGCAGCAGGTATGAAGGATGAGATGTATACTAGTAAACTCTAATCGAGAGTATAAGAAGATCTGTCAGATTATTCCTTTTCAATTAAGCTCGTTTACTACAAAAGACTAGGTCTAGCAGGTAATTAGAAGGTCTTAATCCGGTTAGGGTTAGGGTTAGGGTTAGGGTTAGGGTTAGGGTTAGGGTTAGGGTTAGGGTTAGGGTTAGGGTTAGGGTTAGGGTTAGGGTTAGGGTTA